GGCCCGGGCGGGCGGGTCCAAAGAGGGGGCTCGGGGTTCCCCGGGCCGGGGATCGGGCCTCCGGGGAGCTGGCTGAAGCCGAGCCGCCCTCCCCGTCCCGTGGTCGTGGGGCAGGGTTGAGTCATTTGCTGTCGCATCCTCCGCACAGTGGCACGCACGTGCGAGCAGGCGGGATCGGGCCAGGTCCCAAACCTGGCCATCTGTCCCTAACCTGGCGATCTTGGGCTCGCTCCTGCCTCTGGGGCGCCTTGGCAACCTACTTTGAGCATAAGCTGTCCTGCTTCAGCCTCGCGGATCCGAGTCAGGTCAGCAGTTTCTGTGACCCAGGCTCTGCGGTGGCACCTACCTAAGTGCTCAGGGCTAGGAGTCATGTGGGTGTCACCTCCCACGGCGTCCTCAGGAGCCACGGTGCTGAGTGCAGTGGGCGCGGGGAGAATAACTCAGCCCCGCCCCGGACAGGCAGGAGGGCGACAAAGGTGTAAGCAGACAATAGCACATTGTCATACGGTGACAGGACCAAGCCCTGGGTCCCTCAGCCCGACCTGTAAGTCCAAGGTATTGCACGCCTGTCATCCCAGCCCCAGGCGGGAGAGCATTGCAGGAGTTCAAGGCCAGCCTGAACCACACAGCAAGAGCCTGTCAGAGAGAGAGGGAGGCTGGGAGGGCTGGATTAGAGTAACCTTCGGGGCAGTCAGGGGATCTTAGTTGCTTGAGCCGATGTGGGGGCTGGAGGACTGTGAGGGCTGATGATTTCCTGGTTCTACAGCAATAATAGGATTTCTGGAGTGGGAGAGCACAGGGAGGAGCAGATCTGGAGGGAACAGGATATGTTCAGCAGTTCTGCATTTGATGTGCCTGCAGAACATCCAAGTGAGTCAGTGCCCTTGGTCTCCTTTACAAGCAAGGTTTAGGGGCAAGAATGATTTGCTGGGGAACATACATCAAAGCAGCAGCAGATATCAGAAGCTTTAATAGAACCTCTTTTCTCTGAGCCCCTGGACTGATATGGAAAGAAGTTGCAAAAAGCCAAGTGTGGTGGCTCATGCCTGTACTTACTCTCAGATGCTCAGGAGGCTGAGGCAGGCGGGTCACAAGTTCAAAGCCAGCCCATCTCAAAATAAAAATCCTGTCTCAAAAGAGAAAAGGGCTAAGGAGCGTGGCTCAGTGGGAGAGAGCTTGCCTAGGATGGGTTCAATCCCCAGCACCTCAAAAAAAGTTACAAAGGCATTAGAGCTGTGATTTTTTAAATCATTCCTGTATACTAGGGATTTAAGAAGATGCTTCAGGATTTTACTAACAGAATCATTTTATTTTTAAGTCACTTAAAAGCATTATGTATATAAATAATGCATTTGTGTACACAGTCAGCTCTCTCTATGAGGTCCACATCCTCAAACTTAATAAACCCTAGATTGAAAACACGCAAAAGAGTTGTGCGGGACTGGACATGTATGGCCTTTTCCTTGTCATTTTCTAAAGGACGCAGTGTAGCGGCTCTCTCCTTGGCATTTGTGTTGTAGTGGGTGTGATGCCTAAGCTAGAGGTAACCTCCAGTCTAGGTGAGGATGTGTGTTGATTATGTGCAAATACACTGCTTTATAGAAGTGACTTGAGGGCCGGGGGGTTTTAGCTCAGTGGCCACCGCCTGCTTTGCAAGCACAAGGTCCTGAGTTCAATCCCCAGTACCAAAAAAGAAAAAAAATAGAAGTGACTTGAGCCTTACAGGATTTTGGCATTCACAGGGGTCCTGGCCTAATTCCCTTGCACATTCTGAGGTCTGTACTTTAATATAATGTGTTCAGTATGTTGTACACCAACATTTTTGCTTATTTGAAAAAGGATCTGGCTGTGTATTCCAGACCAGCCTTGAACTCACTTATGTAGCCCAAGCTGGCCTTCAATTCCTGGTGATCCTCCTGCCTTAGTCTCCCAGGTGCTGGGATTACAGTGTGCACTCATACCTGGCAGTATGCATCTTCTTCTCGGTCCATCGACTTCCTCTGATATTCTATCCCTTGAGGTCAAGGGTTTTGACTTTGCTCACAGACTTGGTGCCAGCACTTAAGAGGTGCTCCCTGAAACCTCAGGAATGAGGGAAGAGTCAGATCTTCTTGCTGCTCCACAGGCAAAGCAAAAATACAGAATCAGGATGGTGCAGCTGGCTAAAGAGCTTTGGCTCTGCGGTCAGACATGGCAGGAGGACTAATAAGTGGACTCAGAGTGACATCTACAAATACAGAGAGAAACTTTGTATTCCCCTGCACAGAGGGCATTGAACCAGGGCCTCTGCACTGAGCTCCATGCCCAGCTTTTTTTTTTTTTAATTTAGAGACAGGGTCTTGCTAAGTTGTCCAGGCTGTGCTCGAACTTGGCGATTGATCCTCTTGCCTCAGCCTCCCGGAGCACTAGGATCACAGGTGGGTTCCATTGTGCCTGGCTGAGAGAAACTTGGAGTAGGACCAGGGGCTCTCACAGACTGCACCTGTGCTCACCGTCTCTCCTTTACCAGGCAGTCTGTCCCCCGGAAAGAACCGACCGTGTGTCAGGGCGAAAGGGACCTGTGTGCAGCCGCTCTCCGAGGACCCTCTGAAGCTGTGACTCAGCATCCATGTGTAGTGAGTGCGTTTCCATCCCCTCCGGAGTGGTCAGTCGCCTTCTCCATAAATGCCGTGTGGGTCACAGGCAGGGTCATCTGTAAAATGCAAATTGTAACCCGCCTTTCTGAACCCCCATGAGGGTTCAGAGTGCACAGGTCTGGCCAGGACGGAATGGGTCCCAGGGGCTCGGCTGGTAAACGGACACATCCGTAATCAGCTCCAACCCTGGATCAGCTGGCGAAGGCAGGGAGCCGGGTGATGTGTCTGCTAGTTAGGAGTGAAATGCTTCTCCCACCTCTGCCTAGGATGCCCTTTTGCTTGTTGGGTCAGCTTGTATAAATTTTTTTGTGATGCTAGGGCCTTGTGTATGCTAGACAGGTGCTCTACCAAGAGCGCCATTCCAGCCAGCTTTCTGTAATTTAAGAAGAAAAAGGAATTTAAAAAAATAGTACCTGGGGGTCTGGGGTGTAGCTCAGTGGCACCACACCTGCCTGGCAAGTGCAAGGTCCTGAGTTTGAACCCTGGTACCAAAAGAGAAAAGAATACTACCCAAGGGCAAATATTTATATATTAAGTAAAAGGAATATACTTGGGATTGAACTCAGGGCCATCATCCCTAGCCTTTTTTTTTTTTTTTTTTTTTTTTTGAGACTTGGTCTCATTAAGTTCCTAAGTTGTACAGGTGGGGCTGAAACTTGCCATCCTCCTGCCTCAGCCTCCCAGAGGGCCAGGATGACAGGTGTGCACCACAGCAACTTACTTTGATGCTGGGTTCCTCGATATCAGTGTAACTGACCCTTCTTCTTCTAGGGGATCTTCCCCGGATCATGCTATGGTGAAAAATGTTCCGGAAAGGCAAAAAGCGGCACAGTAGTAGCAGTTCCCAAAGTAGCGAGATCAGCACGAAGAGCAAGGTAGGGGAGAACCATTCACCTGGGGCCGCACAGCGCAGGCCGACCGGGTCCTGTTGCCCTGTGATCCCAGCTGCCTCTCCTAAGGCTCATTTTTTATACTACACTCGGTTTGGTTTAATTTTATTCCAGTTTGTAGATTTTTCTGTAATCCTTAAATCCATTAAACATGCATGGTCAGTTCACAACTGACACAGATTTTAAGAATTTTGAAAGGCTGGAAAGTGACGGTGTTAAGGGGCTGCATCCTGGGGGTTGTGGGGTGGCTGTGTGTGTAACACTCACACTTACTCACCTGTGTACCAGAGGACCGTGGGTGCCGTTCGAAGGAATGCAGTGACTTACCTGAGGCAAACTTTCTAACAGACATTCGCAGAACACTATTTCTGAGGAAACTGCCGCTAGAGTAGTTCTAGGGGACAAACTACTGTCTCGTGTGGTTTTTGAAAACTGCCTGACAGTCACACTGTGGCTTGCCTGCAGTGGGCTGGGTGCCGTGGGTGTCACTGTGAAGCACCTGGATGGAATTAGGAGATTTCATGAGCCCCAGTGGTTGGCTACATGTCACCCATCACTTCGCTTCTGGTTTCTTATTAAACAGGGATGTTACTCCCCGCCTGGCTTTCTGCATAGGATTCATTTTGAGTCCTGTGGAAATAATCTGAAAGCACAGTGTAGATTTCCACAGAGAATATTAATAAGGCATTTTGTAAGATGCCAAGAGGTAATGTCTTAGGCTGACAATGTTGTGTGACTGGAAGGTTGGTTGGAAATATATTTTGTTTTGGTTTTGTTTTTTTCTGGAGGTGTTGAGGCAGGGTCTTGCTTATGTAGTTCAGGCTGGCCTTAAACTCAGGTGATACTCCTGCCTCAGCCTCCCAAGTACTGGGATCACAGGCGTGCGTCAGTATTTGTTTCTGAAGTTTGCTATAGGGTGTATCTTAGAAAAACCCATTGCTGAATAATTGGCCTGAAGTGATAATGTGTCACCTTAACTTAGTGAGTCATTTCAGCATGCGTGGTGGCGAACCTGAGAGCAGACGGGACTTCTGACTGTGTGGCTTTTCTGTCGGTCTGTCTCTCAGTCTGTCGATTCCAGCCTCGGAGGTCTCTCGAGGTCCAGCACTGTGGCCAGCCTCGACACAGACTCTACCAAAAGCTCAGGTGTGTAGACGGCTTGGGTCAGTCCTGTACTTGTGTAGTTTTGCCTCACAGTGTGTTGTGAGTCCTGTGCCCCCTCCAGTCACCTCTGAAAGTTCAGAAATGCCAAAAATGCAGCATGGGTGGGGAAAAGTCGCCTTGGAGTACAGCTCAGGCAAGTGGCTTCTCGGTGAGTCCTGGAGCAAAAGACACAATGTGGAAATCCACTGGGAGGTTTACAAGTAGAAATTGGGTAGGGCTGGGGATGTAGCTCAGTGGCACCCCGCCTGCCTGGCAAGGGCAAGGTCCCGAGTTCAATTCCCAGTACCGAAGGGAGAAAAAAAAGATATTGGATGGCAGAGAGTGAATCACATTGGACTTCTGCCGTCTGTGGGGACTGGAACACTTGTGTTAGTGATTAAAGGGTCTAAGAGCTGTGTGCCTGGAGGGCTGTCTGGAGTGACACAGTGATCAAGGGTAGCGGGTCACGTGTGCCAGAGCCTTGCAAAGTTACCGTGGCCGCCAGAATTAGTCACTCATAGAAATCAAAGGCAGCTCCTAGCCAAGCTGCATAAATAGCTGGTGAATTACTGAGGACACACAGCATTCATTTTCTCCTAGCCTAGGATCCCAGAGTGCTTGCTTCAGCAGCACATGCACTAGAATAGGACCCCATACCAGCAGTCTGTAAAAAAGAATGTTATAGCATAAAGTCCATTATCTTTACTTCCAGTGCCTCTAAGATCTTAAAAATGGTGGCATCATTGTATTGCATAAACATTTCTTAAAAGCAGTCACGTAGTATTTCCTTAGTGTGGTAGATATCGTAAGTCATTTGTGGTCATTTTTGTGTCGGCTAGAAAAAGCAGACAGGGACTTTTTCTCTGGCATTAGACCTTGAATATTAAAAATATAATTGGTGCTGGGTGTGGCGGTGCACACCTGTCATCCCAGCACTCAGGAGACTGAGGCAGGAGGATGGCAAGTTTGAGTCTAGCCTGGGCAACTTAAGACCCTATCTCAAAATAAAAAAGAGCCTGGCGTGGTGGCGCTCACCTGTAATCCCAGCACTTGGGAGGCTGAGGCAGGAGGATCGCTGTGAGTTCGAGACCAGCCTGGGCTACATAGTGAATTCTAGGTCAGTCTTAACTACATAGTGAGAACCTGTCTCAAAAACCAAAAAATAAATAAATAAATCAAATTTTAAAAATAAATAAAATGAAAGGAGCAAGGTAGGGGTGTGGCTCAATACAAAACTCTGGGTTCAATCCTCAGTATCGAAAAAGATTTAAAATCATATTCTAATGACAGTGTCTGCTTTCATTTGCGATAGGCCTGAGGACAGTATTTCTTTTGAGGTCTATGACAAGTTTTCCTTCTCCTTTAGGACAAAGCAACAATAATTCAGATACCTGTGCAGAATTTCGAATAAAGTATGTCGGTGCCATTGAGAAGCTGAAATTCTCGGAGGGAAAAAGTCTTGAAGGACCACTAGACCTGATAAATTATATAGATGTTGCCCAGGTAAGACAATTAAAAAAAAAAAAAAAAAAAAAAAGATTTCATGGGCTGGGATTTAGCTCAGTGGTTCTGCTGCCTGCCTTGTAAGCACAAGAACCCAAGTTCAATCCCTGGTACCAAAATAAATAAATAAAATTTTTTAAAAAAGATTTTACTTTAAAGCCTCTGGTTAAGACTAGAAAGGCAGGGCAATGGAGATTTACTCCTGGTGGCAACTGGATGGCGCCTTCTCACTGTGTTAACTTGTAGTCCTGTGGTCTTGGCAGTTCTAGGTGCCTTGGACCTTGAGTTGTGTAAGAACCAATGCTGTTTGTTCCTCCACACATAGAACTTCTGGTTTTTCCGGGGCTGACTGACGTCCTTGTTTAAATAGGAACTGATTGTGGTTTTCCTTTAAGACAAGCAAAGCCGTACTGTAGCTCAGCCAACTGTTCATCCTGTTAAAAAGTAACTCACAGCAATGTTGACCTAACGCATGTGCTCACTAACCCTGTCTCCAGGAAGAATCGAGGGGGTTTCAGAAATCTGTCCGGGTCAAGAAGATTAAAGAACAAATCATCATCATGCAGGGAAATTCAGAATGAAAATTAAGATACAACAAAGCTGCAAAGTCAGTGCATAACATAAGACTTGTACACTTAATCTGCGGGGGAAGTGAGGGAACGAGACGTCTATGGTTTCTCGTAAGAACATACAATCTCTTAGTCTTGAGACCGCCGATATCAAATGTGATTCTTATCTTCATGAATGTAGAGGAAGTTACTTCTGTCTGAGGGAGATCAGCAAATCTAATTTGCCATTTAACAGAGAACTTTGTGGTCTGGTCTGTTTATTCCAATGAGTTATCCTAGCATTCCATTGGGAATAAGTCAGTTCAACCAAGTAGAAGCAACAACCAGTTTAATTGGAGCAAAGCGGGAAACATAAAAGAGTAGCAAATGACTAGCAAGAAGTTTTTGATAGCGCGAGGAGCTGTGGGTTAAGGTATTTGAACAGGGCTCATTTCGTATAATTCACTATTCCACATTTCCAACATGGGCCGTCTGCTACCGTCACCAGTATCTTACTGTATTTTAAAGACAAACTAGGTTGCGATGTTTCAGGAGAGAAAGCCAGATAACCGGCTAGGGAATCCATTAGCTGTCGTGCTGAGTTGGGAACAGTTCAGAATGCAGACTGATGTGCTTATAAACCAAGGACCTGCTGCTCAGCAGCCACCTGCCCCAAGCCCTGGGTGTGGGGACAACCAGACCCACCTGTCCATCTAGGTTGGATGGATTGAGAAACTGTTCCGGGGGCCAATCCTCCTGCCCATTTCGGTCCTGACACCTTAGGTACTATTCTTGAAAATCTAGAGACCTTTATTCCAGTAAGAGCTCTGTGAGGTTTCTCAGTTTGGAATTAGGGCTCCCATCACAAGACAGAATATCAAGCCAGGTGTGGTGGTTGACAGTGGTAATCCCAGCTCTTGGGCAGCTAGGCAGCCACAAGGTCAGGGCCAGCCTGAGTTACATAGAACACCCTGTCTTTAAGAACAAATAGTAGACTGATGTCAGTCCTGCTCAATTTGTGGGCTGTAAAAATTTTTTTAAACTGTGGGTTTTCCTAATGCCCTTGCTGGGCTAATGTGGACCCAAATTCTCTAAGGTGTGTGAGATTGTAAGGAGCAGATACTGGAAGGGGCTAATCAGACCCGAGACTAACAGAATCTTAATGTACATCTTATAATCTATTATATTTACTTTAAAGCAAGATGGAAAGTTACCTTTTGTTCCACTGGAGGAAGAATACATCATGGGAGTTTCCAAGTATGGTATAAAAGTATCAACATCCGATCAATATGTAAGTAATGCCACTTATTAAAATGTTTTAGGAAGTGGGGAATCCAGGCCTGGAAGGGCTTACTTGTAGTTGGGTGTCCTGTTTGTAGCACCTGGCCACTAGCTGGTCTAGAACATGACCAATTTCTTGGGGTGAACATCTCCAGTCTACACATAGCACCCTGTCCCCACCGCCGGCTGCACTGGCCCATGCCTGTAACCCCAGCTACCTGGGAGGCTAAGGCAGGAGGATCACAAATTTGGTGCCAACCTGGCTACATAGTGAGACCCTGTCTCTAAAAGGGTTTTCAGGGGATTTAGCTAAGTTGTGCTGCCATCTGCCTTACAAACCCAAGGGCCTGAGTTTGATCCCCAGTACCAAAAAAAAAAAAGAAAAAGAAATAAATAAAAAGGGCTGGGTAAATATGAAAAAATGGAAACAAAGTCTTTGTAAATAGGGTAGGGTGAAGGGAGGGCGGGAGAATGGGAAAAAATAAGAACCAAGGTATCGTATGTAAAGATACAATATCCCAATGATGAATGTAACTGTATTGTTAGAGCTGAGCAGAAGGCCCTGGCTTTCATCCCTAGTACCACAAAAGCAAAACAAAGCAAGCTGTCATCGGGGAAGGTGGCAGAGATGAGCATGTAGTCAAATCCTCTCGTCTCCTGGGGTCTGAGTAAGAAGGTGTGATCCAGAAGGCAAGCTGCTTCATCACAGAGCATACCTAGCCCTTGGGGCAAGAAACTTTGCAAGCTTTCTGCCAGATCCATGGGCATCCCGGTTAGTCTCACAATACTCTTTCTCCTTGGGTGCTAGGGGTCTAATCAGGGGCTAGTGCCACTGAGCTACATCCGTAACAGGGTCTGAGTTGCCCCAGGTGGGACTCAAACTTGTGATCCTCCTCCCTCAGCCTCCCCTAGTGCTGGGATCACAGGTGTGCATCACGACACCCAGTCACAATACATCGAGGACGAGGAGATGTGTCACAGTAACGTCTCTGGTTTCCGCAGGACGTGCTGCACCGACATGCTCTGTACCTAATCATTCACATGGTGTGCTATGACGATGGCCTGGGCGCAGGAAAAAGCTTACTGGCTCTCAAGACCACAGACGCCAGCAATGAGGAGTACAGCCTGTGGGTTTACCAGTGTGGCAGCCTGGTGAGGCCTGATCACGCTGGCGGGGTCCCTGGGGTCCCCAAGTGGTGGCAGTGAGGCTTGGGTGGAATGGGGTGCAGGGAGCCTGCACGGTGCCTGGGGTGGGATGGAGTCGGTCCCAGAAGGCCCGGGAGGGGATGCTGCAACTCCCACCGGACCTTTTCCCCAACACAGGAGCAAGCACAAGCGATCTGCAAGGTTTTATCCACCGCGTTCGACTCTGCGCTGACCTCTGAGAAGTCCTGAACCTTACAGCCAGGTGGGAGCCAATGTCACCAAGTGTCCAGCTGTCCTCTAAATCGTTCTATCCGTGAAGCTGAACTCTGGGGGAGACAGGAAGGGCCGCCCTGCTACAGTTCCCTGAAGGAAATGCAATGTACAAAATACTGGTCACTTTTTTATCATATTAAAATGTACAATGAGTTCTCAGTGGACTGTTCTGGGGATAAAAAGAAACCCTCATGTTAAAGTGCAAGTAAGTGCCGCACAAATTTGCACTCACCACCGAGGACCACAATGAAACCTGCCTGCGTGGCCTGCCGGGATGCGACGTCACTGGCCTACAGCTGGAGGCACCCAGCGAGTGACGCCATCAACATAGGATGCAGAAAGGGAGTCTTCAAAGTGCAAGAGCAAAGGTTAGAGGACCCCAGTGTTTATCCCAGAGTTGAAGAACCTTAGAAGATTACCGCTCGTGCTAAATCAGCCGCATTTAAAGGATCTCATGGACAGTACCCCAGTGTATTTTTTTTTAAAGGATGTCAATACTTTAAAGATTAAAAACATTAGATCTAAAACCATGTCGGGCTGGGGGTTTAGCTCAGTGGTGCCACTGCCTGCCTTGCAAGCACAAGGTCCCAAGTTCGATCCCTGGTACCAAAGTAAATAAAATTTAAAAACCATGTCCGTTTAAAAGTACTTTATTTTTTCTCCAGTCAAATGACTAGTTAACAAGGAGCGTAAACTTTATTTAACATGCTCTAATTATAAATCACTGCCATAGAACAATGAAAATAATCAATTTCGGTTATACAATATGTACAGTTGCGCTGCACCCAGACCGAAGTAATTGGGCCAGTGGACTGAACATAGTACATCTAAATAAACAGCATCGTCCCGGGTGGGCCGCAGAGCACCAGCCCTCCATGTCAGATCTGGCGGACACTGGCACACAGAAATGCCGGAGTCCTGCAGCTGAAGTTCATGACATGTAAACTTTAAATATAAACAGATATCTACAATGTTCTCCTTCCTCTCAGATTTGCTTTCTTTTTCCTTTTCCTTCCAATTGTGAAGAGCAAAAAACTAGGAAAATACATCGGTGGGGAAGTGAATAGAATCTCCTCAGGCAAGAGGACTGTTCATGGCCGCAGGACAGCACCACCGAATTGCAGACTGGGAAAACACTCCCCAGGTGTCTCAGTACCAGTGGGCCTGGTAAATTAGTTTGGGCCTGGAGTTCAAGCATTAATGTGAATCGGCTCGACTCCTCAGATCGCTGGCACCAGGCGTCCAGGCAGACGCGGGCAGCCGTGCCCTCAGGTCTGAGAAAAATGACTGGACGGAGGGTTCAAGCAGCAGGAAGTAACAGGAGTGAAGTCAGATGTAGTGCTTAAAAAATAGACCTTAATCACAGAGCTAACACATTTACCTGAAAGGCTAAAGGGCAAAAAGCAGTGGCTACACAGCAACGTAAGACATTCCAGTTTGTTCTGTCTTCATCAGTGAACAAAAATACAATGACAAAAAAAAATTTTTAAAGCTCCACAGTTATGAGTCTTGCATCCCGAAGACAAGCTGCTTCGATCCAATGTGCCATCCTAACGAACGTGGTAGGCGCCGTCTGCTAGTTTTCCAAGCCTACACTTACATTATTCCTTTACTTTCATTCAAAATTCCAAGTGGACATCACCTGCCTGTTTATTCCTTCCGAAAGTACGCCAGGCTCTCCAATCCCCTGCTGTGCACCTATGCTCACAACCCTTAGGGAGAGGTAGGAGCCATGTTCGTTACGCTGATGAGTTTGGGTTTTCACGCACAACCTAATCCCCACCCCCTCCCCCAGAAGTGTAAGGCTCAGGGACATCGGCGGCCTCGAGCAGGGAGACAGGTACGTGGGAGCACTGCATTCCTGGGGACCTAGATTCCTGATAGTGCCGGGGTACACATGGACAGATGAATGTCACGACAGTGCAGCGACCTTTCCGTGGGTGTAGTCTACAGACTGGAGACGCTGAGCTGAGCACGTCCTCGGGCTACAAAGGGTGGTGAGTGACACAGGCCGTGGGAACACGGCCGTTCGTGTCATGGGAAACCAGAAGGCAAACGCCGGAACGCTGAAGGCATGTCAGCTGGTTAGGGAGCTGTTCTGCAGTCCATCACCCGTGGTTTCTGGAAGGAACGGACTGCTATTTCCTTGTCGTGGATCACTGGAAGTATGGTTGAGCTTGACTTTTCACGACACAGGTCACACACACATGCAGGGCAGGACACAGGACAAGGCTAATGAGGTGCAAATCCCCAAGCTACTTTAAGTAGACACTGGTGGGTTTCCAGGGCGTGTGTCTCTAATGGTGAACTGATGGTGAAATCCCAGGCCTGACTGGACACAAAGCCTTATTAATGGGCAGTGTAACGTGAATTTCACGGAACTCTCAGGTGCCATAAAATACACCCCCCGACCCCCATACTTGAGATTGAACTCAGGGTCTTTGCACTGAGCTTACGTCCCTGCCCCCACTTTTTTTCCTTTTCATTTTTTATTTGAAATAGGGTCTCACTAAGTGGCTAAGTTGCTCAGGCTTGGGTGCTTGCTTTCTCTCTTTTTTTTTTGGACTGGTGACTGAATTCAGGATCTTGTGCTTCCAAGGCAGGTCGTGGCACCACTGAGCTACATTCCTGGCCAGGCTTTGGATCCTGCTGCCTCCGCCTCTGCCTCCCAGAGTGCTGGGATGACAGGTGTGCGCCATCGTGCGCAGCTGGCTGTGGAGTTTTACAGTGGCAGTTTACTGGCTTCCTAAAATAGGAACTCCAGAATCAAACCAAGGAAAGCAGGAAGAATTTCTAAGGGTCTTCATTTCAGTCTTCACTTCTCATTTTTAGGGTTAGCTAATTCTGTAGATGTAGGATCTTGGTTATATAGTTAAAATTAACTTTTTAGCTCACCTTAGGAAATTTAGTTTTTCCTAACAGAAGTACAACATTTCATGAAAACTGCAAATGATAAAAACAATTCACTTATATGTAAAAATTGCCTTTGAGTTTTTAAAACAGAACAGTGGTAGGACAGAGAACGGGCTACCATATGGCGCGACTGGTGAGTTTTGGTACCAACGATGAGCCCAGAACGGAACAGCTGAAAAGGCTTGTGTCCGGCGACTTAGTCAGCGATAAAGTGCACGAACGACACGGGGAAGGCGCCCTTGCGGCTGGGATCTCCGTCAATGTGGCCGATCTGGAATGACAGCAGCTCAGGGTTACAAAGACTCCCAACACAGTGCAGGACCGGGAGCACCTGGCGAAGAACTGTTCAGCACAATCTCCCCTGCTGCTTCCAGTACTCGAAGGGCTGACAGGGAATGAGCCTTGGCTTTTTCACCCCCCAGAAAGATGGTGTCTCTGCTGTAGCCCCTGGAGGCTGGAACATAGTGGGGCTCTGCAGGGCATGGGGACAGAGGGCAGCATCACCCAAGTAGAGCTGAGCACTTGCCATGGTCCCCACCCATGAGTGGCAGAGGCCGAAAGCCCAGGACCCTGGGGGAGCCCCGTGTCCCTCCTGGTTTCTGGGCCCTGCCCTGGACGCTGGTGCTATCTCGTCCCCCTAGTCCAGACATAGGGCCATGGCCGAGAAACCCAGGGTCTCACCTCAGGCCCCTCGGGGGTGCCGGGACAGGCAGAGCTGGCAGGCGTGTGGCCGAGGGCACAGGCCCCAACAAACTTACCCACCACTCCTGGTCCTCCTCCCCGTCCACGATGATCACATCCCCCTCAGAGAAGGTCAGCTCATCTGGGTTGTCGGCCATGCAGTTATACAGTGCTTTGACCCGCTTGGGCTTCGACTTGGTCTGTGCAGGATGGGGATGGAGGTTGGTGAGGTGAGAGGCCTGAGCTGGTCTCGGGTCCGACCCAAGCCTGGAAGCCCACAGAGCTCAAGATGAGCAGCTCAGCACGGCTACGGATGAGGGAGCAGAAGGGGGAGCCTCAGCCCAGTGAGCATCCTGGACGAGTCAGGAATGAAGCAGTGGGCTCTCAGCTGGCCGCCAACGACAACAGGGAGCCCCAGCACCGCTCCCCAAAGGCCAGGGAAGTGGAAGGACCAGGCGCAGACGCCTCATGGTGTGGCCTGGGCTGGAGAGGGATTGTCCGCTTACCGCCTGAGACTTCCTGGGCATGGGTGCGGGCGGCTGCAGGGCTGCAACACTTGACAGGGGACCCACAGCTTCTGTTCAAGAGAGACCCATTGCGTTAGGGCAAAGAGGGCACCTGTACCAGATGCCCTGTTGCTTTTACCCCGACAGAAAGTGACCACGGAGCCAAGTGGAAAGATCCCTGAGAGGCCAGGGATCTTTCCGCTGCCCCAATGTGTTATGGGGATCAAGGAGGGCCACAGCGAAGAGAAGCCCAGGGCCTGATTCTCAGAGCAGCAGCCTGGCCCCAAAGAGGCCGGACGGCAGCGCTGGGCTCCTGCCTGGAATCTGCCCCACAGACTGCGCAGAAGCAAACCCAGCCCACAGCAGTTGACTAAAGGGCAGAATAAAAGGTAGGTCACGGGGAATGGAGAGATCCTTGTCAAAGGGGAAGGGGCAAGAGATGGTGGAAGGAGGGGGGGCAGTAAGAAGAACTAAGATCCTTGTGTTCCTGCACCAGCTCCCCTCGAGGACCAATTACCACCCACTGCAAATGTGGGCCAATAAAAACCCAAGTGAATAATTACCCAGTCCTCGTGGCTGGCCTTTGCTGCTCAGTGCGGTCGGCCTGTCAACCCTGCAGAGGAGAAACAGACTTGCTGGCGTGGAGGCTGTGCCCACCTTGCCCCACCTGCATGGGTGGCCTTCGCCCACTGCCACCCAGCCTCCGTTCCTGGGGTGGAGAAGGACGAAAGGCCCGGAGAGGCACTGGGCTCCTCCACAGCACCCCTGCTCGGCCCTCCTGGAAAGCCAGGACCTGGCTCAGTGCCACAGGCGGATGGCATCAGTGCCACCATCCCAGCCCCTGCTGCTGGGCAGCGACGCAGCTGACCACGGGCTCAAGCTAATGGCAAGCTTGGCGAGCTCTGGGTCACGCATGGCCCACAGCTGCGAAGCAGAGCTCCAGAGTGCAGGGCCCAGCTCTGTGAGGGCAAGGGACAAGGCTGTGACAGGCAAGAGCCTGGGGCTGCAAAGGGGCAGACAAGGCCGGAGGTGGCCAGGGTGTCCTCTCCACAGTATCTCCAGTCCCTGCTTCCTGGAATGCACTGCCAGGGTCTTGGGTCTCTGTGGTTTCAAAGCAAAGGCAGAGAACAGCTGGCGCTGGTTTGATTCTTAATTTTTTTTTTTCTGTTTTTGGTATGGGGATCAAACTCAGGTCCTTGTGCTTGTGAGGCAGGTGGCAGAACCTCTGAGCTACATTCCTGGCCCGACTCTTAATTTTTTGAGATGGGACCTCGCTATGCAATTCAGGCGGGCCTTGAACTCACAGTGATCCTCCTGCCTCAGCCTCCTGAGTGGGGGGATTACAGGTGTCACCACACCTGGCTTGACTTTGCTCTTATTTTAAAGAACTGAAAAGGTCTAAAAATGAGGCCCACCAGCCTGCCAGTGTCACAGTTTAACTTCCACCATCTCGGTGTACACGCCTCAGCAAACACTGTCAGGCTGACCCCGACCCTATCTACAGGTACGGAAGTCTGAACTTCATGATTCCAGCGTTCCACAGCATGGTCTCCTTGTGCTTTTTTCAACCATTTATAAGTCCAAAAGCCATGGTGAGCTCATGGACCGCAGGGAAATAGGTGGCAGGCACGCCTGGTCCCTAGGCCAGCCTGAACTAAGGGAATAAACGTGCACCCAGGGCCATTCCCCGGGTAGTCACCATGGGGAGCAACGGTTCCTTCACGTGGAAACCGACTCCACCCCGACAATCTGACCCTGCTCCCCAGGACAAGGACAGAGCACCCCCACCCCCGCCTGCCTCTGTAGGGACCGGAGCAGCTGGACCCCAAGCCACACCCTCACACGTGCCGGCCCACACCCATGTTGGGTGCTCTCTAGTGGGGCCTGACCTGAACTCTTTCTGTTCAGAACTTTGAGGAGCTATTTGGACTCTGCAAGAACAGCGGCTTGGAGCGCCCCCATCAGAAGACGGCACAGGGACAGAGGAGGTGCAGAGGCAGACAAGCTCACCCTGATCCCAGGGGCCCAGATGGGAATGGTGCCGCCCTACCCGGCACCAGATGGGCTTCTTGGCAGCATTTTCACTAAAGACCCCCAAACGCTCTTTCCAATATAAAGATCCAGGTTCCAGGGATGAAATAAAGGACAGTGTCCCCACAAGTGGCTGCTGGGGCAGGGTGTGTCCGTAGGCCCCGCGGCTTCCCTGGAGCAGACCCAGAGGGCCTCACACCCAAGAGCCTGGTGTCTGCACCCAGCATCTAAATCCAGGGCTATCTGCAGACTGTACAGAATAAAACCAGCGCGGAGATGAGCACGGCAGTCCCAGACCAGGAACAGGTTCCACTCCAAGAATATCCTTGTCTGATCTGTCACCGTCCTGCAAAGGGAGGGCTCACAGTGTGCCTGTGAAAAGGTTGCAACTCGAGTGTTCGGAAGTCAGGCACTTACTTACTGTACTAAATTTAGATTTCTGCTGTGTGGGTTTAAGATACACTTGTAAAAAATTTCCACAGCTGGAAACTTCTGGAAGCACAGGCTTTAACCGCCTTGGGATGCAGATGACACTGTGCTTCTTACGCTGCAGGTGGGGGCTCCCATCGTGCAGAGAGAAAGCTGGGTGGTGCACGCTTGTAGTCCCAGCATTCTGGAGGCTGAGGCAGGAGGATTGCCAAGGGTTCAAGGCCAGCCTGGGCTGTACAGAGAGTTAAAGGCCAGCCTGACCTACATAACAAGACTGTTTCCAACAAACAAATCAACAAACCAACCCCAAACCAACAGAGAGAACCCCGGCAGCAGGAGGAATATGCTGTCACCAGAAGCCCTCTGGGCACAGGACGCAGGGGCAGCACTCACCCAGGTGCTGGCTTCTTCTGCAGCGGGCGGCTGGGTGGCTGGGGTGGCGGGGCCTTGCTTGGCTGGCTCAGGGCTTCCAGCACAGGAGGTGGCCTGGCCACAGACACGGCTGGGGTGGCAGGGGCTTGCTCTGGGAGGCTGCGGGTGGCGGGGCCTTGCTTGGCTGGCTCAGGGCTTCCAGCACAGGAGGTGGCCTGGCCACAGACGGGGGCGGTGTAGGGGTTGGGGGATCTGCAGGGAGAGGAGAGGGAGGCGAGGGTCAGCCTCTGTGCCAGCCAGCTGCACACCCAGCTCCACCCGGACCTCTCCTCCTCCTGGCAACCTGGTCAATGCCTACCTGAGCCCATGCTCACTACAAACCAGGCCCCCATCAGCTTGGGTCTCAAGGGAGGGCGGGACCCTCTGTCAAGCTGCAGCCCAGGGGAAGGGGTGGCAGGAGGCTGCCTGGAGCAGGTGCCAGCCTGGGCCCTGCCATGGAGCTGGGCCTTCTTCCAAGCTGGTTGGGCACCAACAAGGCCGTTCTTGCCCCACCAGGCTGCTAGGCAGGGCCGCACATGAGGACAGATTGTGAATGGTCCCGTCAAGGTTCTGGCCCTTGCGCAGGCAGGGTGAAGGGTCACTCACCACCAAGGCTGCGGGGCTCACCCCGCTCCTCCCTCATCCTTTGAGGATGGTAGCTGTCTTGGAAGGGAGCTAATACAGAAGGCGAGGACTTGGGGTTGGGGTGAAGGAGTCCAGTCTGTGGTCTTTTTTTTTTTTTTTTTTTCCCCCGAGACAGGGTCTCGAGGAGAAGCTTACACTGGTCTTTAACTTGCTATACAGCACAAGGAGGCCTCAAATGCACAGAGATCCTCCTACGTCAGCCACCCAAATGCTGGGATCAAAGGTGTGTGCTACCACGCCTGGCTCCTTTTTCTGTTTTTAAGCCAAAAAGTGGACTCCCACTCAGGGACACCAGCCTGAGAGGCAGGAAAGAGCTCTGGCCGAATGAGCCCCTGCCGATAGTTCTGCATGTGCCTCAGCTGGACCCGGCCCGCACACCCCGCACTCCAGGGCCACTGACAGCCTATCGGACACAATGCCCCTGGCTCTGCCAGCAGTGATTGCTCACACAGCATTTAGAGTAGCTGAGCCACTTTTTAGAGACACAGTCTTGCTATGTAGTCAAGGGCAACCTAAAACTTACCAGGTAGCCTGGGTTGGGCCCTGAACTTGCAATTCTCCTGTCTCAGCCTCCTGAGTGCTGGGATTATAGGTGTGCCCCACCATGCCTGGCTTATTTAACTATTTCAAGGAAGCCACAAGCACCGTGACCTGGAAGTCCCTCTCAGTACTCGGGAAGCAGGGACACCACCCCGCCCAGCCACCATGGCCAAGGTAGGCCCCAGGGAGGGACGCCAAGGTCTCTGCCCACTACCGCTCCTGCAGGCCCAAGGACTCTCAGCCACATATTGGCATTGAGTGAAACAGAGATGGTACAGCAACCACCATCCCCAAATACTGAAAATCCTCACTCGGACAGAGGCAATGGAAGTCCCTGGGGCAGGGTGTGAAGGAGAAAGTGCTGCTAAAATGCTGTGCGAGACAGAAAAGAGTGAGCCATTGAGGGGTGCAGTGGATGGAGGCCAGAGGGCGAGAGCCGTCCTGCCGTGACGTTTGTGTGTCTGTGTGCAGGTGTGCTCCCCCACCTGTCTCCCCAGGTGGCTGCCAACAGTGCCCCTGCCTTCCAACCTAAGGCCCACTGGCGAGAAAGGAAAGAAAGGACAACGTACTGGTCGATGTCACTCGCAGAGGGGGCAGCGGTGGGTGGACAGCTGGCGGATCTGACGAAGATCGCTGCCTGCTGACACCGTCCACACCTACAGAGTTTGTCTTCCACGGGGTGCTAGCCGAGGAGGCTGCCTGAACTGATCCCATGCGCACACACAGGCAGGCACACGCACACGCACACGCAGAACAAAAACAGAAATAAAACACTGCGTTACTGATCCTCTCGCTTACAAAATGGTCGCTGTGACCTTCCTTTGGCAGCCGCTAGGACCCTGACCTTTTGCCTCTGGCGTCTGGAAGACTGATGGGCCAGGAACCATTCCCTGATGCTTTTCTCAGTCTGCCAAAGTTTGTCTATGTATTTTTTGTTCTTGTGAGCAGTGACTATGTACTTCAGGCTGGCCTTGAACTCACTCAGTAGCCCAGGCTGGCCTTAAATTCCCCATGACCCTCATGCCTCAGCCTCCTGAGTGCTGGGATCACAGGCATGTAATATCATGCCCAGCTCCTGCCTGTCAAAATTTCAAGTTCTTGATTTCACTTCTCACAAAGAAATATTGTTTGAAGAGGGCAATAAAAGCCACAATTTCTTCTGCTGAGCATGGCTTTGGGGACCTGTGGGTCTTTTGCTTGTCTCTGCCCTTCCGCCGCATTCTCCTGGAGACAAAGGTGCAGTCGGCCAGGAGGGAAGGGCTGACCCGCCTGCTTGCCCACACTGCTGCTAGAGGTTGGCCGGGGACCCTGAAGATGGCATTTTACCGGTCAGGAGTCCTCCCCTTGCCACACGAGCTCTTCCTGAGAGCCGCCCGCGAGCGAGGTGCACAGGTCAGACCTGTGCCCCGCCTGGGGCCTGGAGGCAGCCTTTGTCTCCTGTAAAGAGCGAGGTCGCCCTGTGCAGACCCGATGGTGTCCCCCGCCATCTGCCCTGACCCTGAGTGTGGGAGGGTCAGAGCAGGAAGTGCCCTCCCGAGGAAAGGCAGCTGCAGATGAGGACAGCCAAAAGCATGGAAGAAGCAAAGCAGCAAAACCCTGGATCCCAAGAAACCACAATGCCAACACAGAGCTCACCCAAACGAGCCAGCAAACACCTCACCGGCTGTGGCCTGGCCCTGTCCGGCCCCACCGTGGGGACCCTGTGGCAGGTGAGTGGGCTGCGTCATGGACCTGCTCTCAGGACGTCTGTCCCTGGGCAGGGGCCCAGCGAGCAGCATGACAGTTCCACTGTCATTTGTCTGAGTAACAAGGTGGGATGATGTAAGAGCGTCCCCAAGTTACCTGGGACCGTAGGACCCGGCCACACACGTGGCTGTGGCACATGGCAGTCTGCTCACGCTTGCGGGGACCAAGTCCCAGCCCACGCTTCCTCTGCTCCTGGCTATAATCTGAAATACTCCTGGGCCACAGACACCACGCCATCCACGCCACTCAGCAGCCGCTGTGCCTGGTTTTGGCTCTGTGGAGGCTCAGACCCCACAAACCCGAAGGGCCCCTCCTGCTCCCAGGGAGCCCCCACTGGCCACTGCCCATGTGGGCAGCCCTGGCCCAGGGAGCCGCCGCTGCCATCCTGCTCGGGGGCCCAGGGCCAGCTCAGCTCTGCATGGGACAAACTACTCCATTCCCAGGGCCTTCGGTCTCCGTGTTTATCAAAACAGATATCACCCGAGGAGCCCAACTAGCTCCTTGGGACGCGGTAACTGAGGAAAGGATGTGCGTTCGGCACCGTAGGAACAGCGAGGCCCACAGGGCGACTGTTACACAGCAAGGCAGGCAGTGCTCTCCGTGTGGGGTCTCAGAGGTAAGAAGTACGACCAGGGGCCTGAGCTGGCCCAGATTCGGCCAGAGGGGAAGAAAGATGAACCAGAGCGGAGTGGGGAGCGGGGAAAGGGACTCAGCACTCGGCCGCCACGCCTCTTCCCAGACAAGAACCAGGCAACAACTCCGCCCGCTACACGTCTGGAGATGATGGAACCCTCCAGGAAGCAAAGGGAAAACAACTACCCAGCAGGCATCCACGTCACCCGGTCGGTCGGGACAAAGCAGCCACCAACTCCTGGAAGCCCAAATCCCATGCCGAGCGTGCTCCCGGCCAGCGAAGTGCTGTACCTTTGCCGAGGTTCCGAGGCGGAAGTGGGGGAGCACCAGTGGGGCCGGGGGCTGCGGGCTGGGCAGGGGGCGGGCTGCTGCTCAGGATGGCTCCATAGGTCTCGTTCTGCAGCATGCTGGGCACGAAGCTCCTCGGCTTGTCCTTGGCGCTGGCACTGGGTGGAAGCTGGCCAGACCCCAGCTGGTAGAAGCTGACAGGCCGGTCCTCCCGCCGGTTGGGGCTGGGCTGCGGAGGAGGGTGGGGCAGGTGTGAGATAGAGCCTGGCCTCCCCGACAGACCTGCGGGCTTCCAGACAGGGCCGGCCAGCCACAGTCCACCCATGATGGCGCCCGGACTCCAGGCCAGCCCAGTGCTCTCTTCCCAGGTTCACGGGAGCCGCCACCTCTGCTGTGGAAAAACAGCTGGCGTTTATCTGTCCTCTCTGGTCACTTCAAGTCATCCTGGCAAAGCTGCGCAGTTATAATAAAAACTGCTACTTTTGCCTTGTGAACCCGGAATCCTTATTATCTGGTTTTCTCCACATTGGCTGTACTGCAAATTCACGCGTGGAATCAAGGCTCAGGCAACTTAGATGCAACTCACCTTCCAGCGGCCGACTACGGCACACTGGCTGTGGTCCTAAGCACCTGACACGGCCCCGCCAAGCCCCTTCTGGAGCAGCTCTCACCATCACCAGCACGGGGCCGGGTGCCCGGGAGGAGCTCAGTACCGCCCATGTCCCTTACAGGACGCCCACTCCAGACTGTGGCCAATCTGCAGGGGAGGTGAGTCTCGGACCCCAGCTCAGCTGAGCCCTTGTTACTACCTAACCAGGATCACCGCCCTAATTCCTCACTTGCTCCTAAGACAGGAGTGTGAGGCCTACAGGGTGGAACAGGGGATCCGGGGCAGGGCTTCAAACTGTGGCAATTTTTGGGGTGTGTTTTCTTGTTTTGTTTTTTGAGACAAAGTCTTACTATGTAATCCACACTGGCCTTGAACTCACTATGTAGCTCAAGCTGGCCTGGAACTTGGGGCCATCTTCCTGCCTCAGCCTCCCAGAGTGCCCAAACTGTTTTTCTGTCAAAGGCAGGTGAGTATGCAATGAGTCAGCTCTTCTCTTGATACTGTTTTGTAGTTAACTCAGTGACAAGGTTTCTTATTCTGCATTTTAAGGAACAGTAGGAACCACGACCTGCTTCATAAGCAAGGCCAATCCAATGGCTTCAGAAATTCGAGCTAGCTAGGCACCACTCACCTCCGGCACTGCCCTTCTCTAACCAGATACCCTGTGGTTCTATAATCAGCACACGAGTCCTGCGTAGCAGCAGTGAGCTCGGCCACGCACTCCACACAGCCTTTCCTCTCCTGGGTGTGAAGCACCTCGAGCCTGCGGCCATGGATGGGGCAGGGTTGCAGCTGGAGAGAGGGCTGGGAGGGATGCTGTCCGGGCTCCACCCTGGGTCTGCCCTGAGTGGAGGGAGGGACTCAGAGCAGCAGAAGAGCCTGGTTCTGCTTCTAGGCTGCCTGGAAACAGCTGCTTCCCTGCGGCTGTGTCGCCCTCTCTGAAGGTTGCAGTCCCTGACCAGGAGAAGCAGGGCTCAGGCTCAGTGAACGCTGGGGCTGTGGAATGATTTCAGCGAGGACCTGGAGGTTGGGCCGGGTAAAGTGACCGACCTTGGGGCTGTGAGCACCTGTGGCACCTGGTTCCTCACAACATGGTCCTCTCCAAGCCAAAATCAAAGGCCTTTCCACACCTTCCCCTGGCAGCAAAAGGCAGGCAGCTCCCTCATTAACAAGGCTGGGCTCACTTTCAATGAGCCGCAGGAGCGAGGAGACTGCACGGTGGTGTGAAGGTTGGAACCTAGAACTAAGCCGAGACCGAGGAGCACCAAGTGCGAGCCGGGCTTTCCTTCCTGCCTCAGTGGCGGGCCGGGACCCACACTGCTCTCTATGAAGTGTGCAGAATCCTCGCAGACCTGCAGCTTCTCGTCCATGTCGTCATCACTCTCATCCAGGTCCTCGTGGAGCAGCCGCCACTCATACTCGACGTGGACGTGAGAGTTGAACCTCCCGGATAAGGCCTGGGTCAGCTGCGAACAACAGGGTGATCAGGACTGCTGTGCACACACGGCCAGGCGGCAGCACCCACGGGTGTCTGTGGCCGGGAGTGGGAGACTGTGTTCTGGCCTAGGAGGCCGCGTCAGTGGCCCTGGGTGGAGCCTCCTCTAAGTGCCTCCCAGGGGCACCACGACACTGAAGCCCGACAGCCTGGGCAGCAGCTGTGGGAACTGTACACAGGCAGGACCATCCACCCAGCCTTCTGGAGGAGCGCAGAGAACTGAGCCCTGCAGAAAGGGAGCTGAACAACCACTTCCTCAGTCCCCTCACGGGAAACAGGTGCTAGACAGTCAGTTTCACTCTGGAAGCGCAGAAATTAATTCCTTACCTAGTGGTGTGGAGGGCTGTGGGGCTGAATCTCGCCCCCGAGCTAGAGCTGTGAGGCACGCTTACTACTTAAGGTTTCTGCAGCTTCCTCCTCTATAAGAGGGCCCCAGTACAAACTATGTCGCAAAGATTAGATGAGCTGGTGGCGCTGCAGTGCCGGGACCAGAACCTGTTACTGACCCTGCAGCATTTTCTCCTCCTAGTTCTATCGATTCCACGCTTCACTGCATGCTGATCGCTTCCCAGGTCAACAACCTTGCAGAGCAACACAACTGACTCGACTCCACACAGGGGAGCAGTCTGAGGGCCTGGCTGTCTCTCCCCAGCTGCAGCAGCACAGCCCCACTGTAAACTAGGTCTTTTCATCGGTCACATCACCTCTCTTTTGGCACAGGGCAATCATGGACAAAGCAGGACAAGAGCTGGGCGTGGGAGCTGCCAAGTAAGGAGCACAGGCAGCTGGGAGCCCCAAGGGGCCAGGGCTCTGACAGCTCTTCCAACTGGTGAGTGCACGCAGTTCCTAGTGTCACCACAAGAGGGCGCCACCTGGCTTACAAAGCCTCCCCAGCACCCAGAGACTCACCAGCTCCTCACAGTGCTCATGCTTCAGGCGCTTGGCGATGTCCAGCGGGGTCTCTCCAGACTCGTTCGCTGCAAGTACAGGGGGAAGAGAGAGGTTCCATGGCAAACCTGGCACAGGCCTGCTCTCAGGCCAATTTCACAGACACACTGACCCAGTAAAGGCTGCCTTGTGACCATACTGGAGGCAACGGAGTAGAGAAACTAAGAGGTTCTTCTGTTCTTGCTAGTTCTTTGAGACAGGGCCCCACTATGTCCCCTAAGCTGCACACCCAGCTGAGAAGCTAAGAATTTAACACAAGGTTTGCATTGAGAAAATAAAACTACTGAGCAGTTAACTAATTAAAGTCAATATGCAGACACAGGTGTGGTGGCCCAGGCCTGTAATCTTAGCACTCTGGAGGCTGAGGCAGGAGGACAGCCACCGAGTTCAAGGTAAGCCAAGGCTACATGGTGAATTCGAGGCCAGCCTAGCCTACACAGCAAGACCCCGTCTAAAAAAACCAAAGAAAAAGAAAGAAATTCATATATAACTCTAATTGAATACTGCAGCGCCTCACTGATCTCTCACCAAAAGCACCACACCACCGGGTGCAATGCAGCAAGTGCACTACAACTTCTTCTGCAATAGCGAGGCTTGAACTTCGCACTCAGGGCTTCCCATATGCTAGGTAAGAGAACAGCTCTACCGCCGAGCTACGTCCCTAACCCTTCACATTCTGAGACAGGTGTCCCCGAGTTACCCAGGCTGGCCTCCAGCATGTGATCCTCCTGCCTCAGCCTCTCAAGTAGCTGGGATTACAGGTGTGCACCACCACGCTGGACCAGGGTAATAAACTTCCAAGCAGCCTATAAACTTGGAAGCTGTACTTTCTTCTGAGTACTCTGACTAAGTTTTAGAGAACAGGCATGGCCTCGCATAGCCCTTTCTCCTATGCCCCTGCTCCACAGTCCTCCAAAAATACTTCCTCAGACAGCAGTGGGGCAGACTTCGCCTCTGACAGTGTCGCCGCCAAGAGAGATGAAGACAGGTGACGGCAGGACCCCTCGCAGGGCCACAGTGCAGGGAGCGGGCAGGGACGGCACCTCCTGGGGACCAGGGCTCACCTATCTCGATGGAGGCCTTGCCCCGCAGCAGCAGCTTGAGGCACTCGGCATTGTCCGTCAGGCAGCAGTAGTGCAGGGCCGTGCTGCCTCTGCCCGTCTGTTTGTCCAGGTTCCCACTGCCAGGAGCGGAGACAGAGGGGGAAAGACACTGAGCCACAGGCCGGGGAGAAGTGGGCTGCGACAAGAGCGGGTGGGACAGAACACCGTCCATCCCTCAAGGAGCCGGAGGTCACTGGGTGTGGACCAGGAGGCTGTGCCCTGGGCCAGCAGGACACACGGGCACTGGGCTGCACTCGGAGGACTGGTGTCCCATCTGCCCCGCCAGGACCAGCGACCTTGAGGTCGTGAGAGGCTTGTGGGCCTTGGGCCAAGTGCTCCACAGCTCCTCCACCTTCTGACAGGGTCTTCAGTCCTCTGCCCGGGAATGGCAGGGAGAAGCGGGGAGTGCACACTGTTTCTCACACTGTGGAGTCTGTCTTCCCAGGGAGGGCACCTTCAGTCTGCTCTGAGACATCACCCAGAGCCACAATCAGGGAGTCTGACGCATGCCAGCGGCCTGGAAGTCCACGGGAGGGTACCGTGTGCCCTGTGTGTGCACCTCTCAAGAGCCAGTGAGGCCACAGCAGGAGCAGACTCCAGCTAGCGCCTGCTCAGGAAGCCCTGTTGCCTCTAGAGCTTCCACTCCACACTCCGGGGCCACTGCAGCTTCCCTCACCACACCTGTCCCAGCGACCTCTCCTCGGTCCCATGGTTCCCATTCAGCCCTACGACCCCAGCACTGTGACCAAGCCAGCACCCAGTTCTGTCTCAGGGTCCCCAGGACAAAGGCTGAGGCCTCCACGGACAGGAGCACACTCACCTGTTCTGAACCAGAAAGTCCACGATGTGGAGAGAAGTCCGGTCCACGGACCTGACCGCCAGATGCAGCGCCGTCTCATCTGGCTCCTGAAAAGCAAGCGGCGGCTCTAACCTTGTGTCCGACAAAGCAGACTGTGAGCCAGTCTTCCAGAAGGTTTTCATCCTGCCTTTCAGAAACTCACTGCCACAATATGGGGCACTCCTCTAATCTCCAGGGCATCTCCACCCTAGGGACGCGCAAGTGAGAGAATGGCCGATGCCTCCTTCCACCCCGGGAAGAGACAACGGACGTCAGGGCTTCCGGTCCCACTCCTCCAGATTGCGGAGCAACCCCCAACCTGCACCAATGGCAGTGTTCACTGGTAAGCCGGGCCTTCTTCAATGTGTCCCGGAGGGTTGCCCTGGCTTCCTGCACTCCACCCTTTTACCTGCTCCCAAAGCATAGAGAAAAGTATGCTTTTAAAGAGAGACCAAGGTCTGGGTGGGTGTGGTGGTGCACAACTGTAATTCCAGCAATGAGGAGGCTGAGGCAGGAGAATCACTACATTCCAGGTCAACCCAAGCTACCTCGTGAGTTCAAAGCCAGCCCAGGCTACACAGCAAGACCCTGTCTCAAAAGAAAGGTCTGGGGATATAGCTCAGTATGAAGTTCCTTGGTTCAGTCGTCAGTGACACAGTAAATTAATAAAGTAAAAACACTGTAGCTATTTACCCATGCTATGCATATATGGTATGTATGCAACATAAGTGATTTCCCATTTAGACCTGGGTCCCAGCCCCGAGATATCTCATTAAATACTATACAAATGTTATAAAATCTGAGAAAACCCCAACTGGTCCTGGTCCCAAGCACTCAGGATAGGGATGTGCAACCTGTGCACAGTTAAGTCCTCGACTCCCGGACGTCGGGAGCTGTGAAGTGTTGCACGTATACTGTGTAAGTCTCACTGGCAGCTTACCAACCGTCCTGGAACAGACCTTGTCTGTGAGTTGGGGATTTACTGCATTAATTGCCAGTGGGGTGGGGCAGCCCCAGTGTCTTTCCACACAACTGCCCACGAGGCCCGAGGCCCGGCTCTGCCACTGCCCTAAGCAGAAGCCTCACTTACGTGGCCGTTGGCCAACGGGATTTTCTCCGTCAGGTCCACACCGTCGGCGTAGGCTTGGAGCAACCCGAAAATGGCCCTCGTTTTGACGGCCTCGCACAGGCTGTGGAGCTTGGCTGTGCTGTCCGAGTGCTTCTTCTTTGCGTACCTCCTCTCGATGTACTTGGCCGTGATGTAGTCCTTCCTGGCATTCCTGAAAGCAGACGCTGCTGTCAGGTGACACATGGAGGCCTCTCCCCAACCTGCCCAGTGCCCATGCACCCACCCCACCTACGCCACCCAGCCTCGCCCACCGCAGGACAGGCCCCGAGGGCTTGGTTCCAAACTCAGAGCGCTGGGCCCTGCAGAGTGGTTCCAGGCTGACCCAGCTGTAGGGACAGGAGGCTGGAGCATCTGTGTCCTCAGCTGCCTGCCTCTGGTCCTCCCAAAGTCCTGTATCCAAAGGTAGCACACTGCTGACCCTGTGCTTTGTGTTGCAGGATCTGACTTCTTTTTTTTGAGAGGGGATCTTGCTAAAGTGCCCAGGCTGCTTTTGAACTTGCAATCCTCCTGCCTCAGCCTCCTGATTAGCTGGGATTAAACTGGGATTACAGGTGTATGATCTGTAACGTTTGAACAGGCTCAGGCTGAAAGAGCCCCGAGGGCACCAACACCAGGGAGCCAGAGTTCAAACCCTAGTCTTACCACAGGCTGGCAGTTTGTCTCTGCTGCAATCTGTGAAAAGGCACACGTAGGATCCTCACAGTGTGAGTGCAAGAAGTGTGTGTGTTCACCATGTAAGCAGAGTGCACAGTAAGGCCCAGAACCCTGCTGCTGAACCCCAAAGTGGACGAAGAAAAACAGCAGCTGTGAACATTCTACAGAAGCAAGCGAACAGGGGACTGAGCCTTCTGCAGTACCGAACGTGGGCAGCAGCAATGACAGAGACGCGGACGGCGCAGCGAGTGTGGCCATGCTCCAATCCGGCAGCACTGGCTGATGGCCAGGTGGAGAAACCTCGGTGCACCTCACAGCGGAGCAGTGCTGTGCAAGAAAGGGACAGAAGCACCGACCAAGTCTACAAGGATGAGCTTGGAATACACGGACACCAGGACCACATGCACTATGGCTCCACTTACACAGCACGTCCAGGAATGTCCCAAGTGGGAAGTGTGTAGACACAGAAAGTGGGTTGCCCTGTGCTGGGTACATAGGGGAACTTAATTTTCCTATTAGGGTGAAAAAAACCCACTAACACTGAGGGTCAGAGATGTAGCTCCGTGCAAAATCCTGTGTTCAATCCCCGGAACTGCCACCAAAACAAAACAGAATGAAACAGAAAAAGAGACTGAGAGCTAGTGAGGCTGGGGAAGAGTGGCGATAGGCCATGTCCAGTCACAGAAGATCTGCCTGTGATGGATACAGGTCTAAACCTCTTTGGGGTGGGAGGGTTGCAAGGAACTCTAACAACAGACAGTGAAGTCTCGCTGGGCAGTATCACACGTCAGTCGTGAGGAACTGGAAGACAGATTTTTACGTTTGCATGAGGAGAACCTTTTACTTAAACAGCATGCCCACAAGCAGTAGAATAAGATGAAAAGAATGGCCACCAAGTTAATACGCTAGTTAATGACAAGAAAAGATATGAGCGGTTGGTGGCAAGATGTGGAAATGAAAGAAATGATCGAGCAGCTGCTCATGAGCTTGAAAGACAAAATGAAGTCCTCAGAAACAGACTAACTTCAGCTAAACAGCAACTTCAAATCCAGGGTTACAGCCAAACTCCACACAATTATGTACAATCTCGCATTAACACTGGGCGCAGAAAAGTGAATGAAAATGCAGGCGTACAGGAATGTTCCAAGAAAGGTAAAACGAGGCTTACATCAAATCCTAAACTTAAGTCTTACATAGTTTTACACAGACACACACAATTTTCTTTCGATAATTTCCATATTTTACATGTCTCAAAAGATATAAAAATCATTTTTAGCTTGCTTTCTCATCACTAGACTGGGCTGGGAATCTGGCAGAGTGGAGAGAGGACCTGCCTAACATACCTGAGACCCTGTGTTCAATCCCCAGCATTGGGGAGAAAAAAAGATCACTAGCTTATTCTCAGGTTTGTTTAGTAAAACATAACTATTCATGCTTATATGAGACATGCAGAGCTAAGTAAAAACGGAGTGGAGCAGAATTCGAGTTAGTTTTTATATTACAGATGAAAATCGCACCAATTCATGCAAACCAGAAGACCGTCTAGTTTGTTTATATATGATCACACCTATTTTGGGAGATCACATTTAAGTTCTTCACCCAGAGACCTTTTATAAAGTTTGCAAATGTTTCCCCATTATGTGGAGACAACATGACAATAGGGTGTTCATGTAACCAGGGTTTTTAAAAAGTTGGGTTCTTGCTCCTCCACTTAATAACTCGTGTCCTTGGGTAAGTCACCTAATTGTTGGGGACCTTCGTTATTCTTACATATAAAAAAATGTTGAAGCAAGTCACCAAAAGTTCTCTTCCATGTAAAAATAATCATAGTTGAATCACTTTCTTCATTTTGAAAACATACAACCTACAGCCTACCCCAAGTGAATCGTACAGAAAGGACTCAATATCAAATCTAAATATTTATAATAAAAATTCTCAATTCTTTCCTCCCACAAACGAGAGAGAGAGAGAGAGAGAGAGAGAGAGAGAGAGAGAGAGAGAGAGAGAGGGGGGGAGGGGGACTGTGCCAAGCACACTGGCACACACCTGTAATTCCAGCTACTCAGGAGGCTGAAGCAGGAGGATAGCATGTGCAAGGCTAGTCGAAGGCCAAAAGGCAAGACCTCATCCCAAAAATAAATAAAAAAGGAGCCAATGGCCGTACCACTCTGTAAACTACACAAAAAGCCACTAAACTGTACGCTTTTAAATGAATGTGAATCATACTTCAATAAAGCCATCAACAAGCACGTTGGGAAACCAAAGTGAACAATTTACCCTTTAAATGCACCAAGAACACAAGGTAAAAGCAACCCCCTGCCACTCCAGCAAGGTGCGGGAGGCGCTCCCGAGCAGCGGCCAGGGCAGTGACAGGAGGAAGGACCTGCGCTGCCCACAGGCTAAGGTCCACTCAGAGAGGTGTTCACCCCACCCAGCTACCACACCTCAGACGGGTCCAGCCTGTCCCTCATGCACCCGTGGCAAGCGACACCACCTTGTGGGCCACTGCAGGTGGCAGTGAGACCACACGGAAGCAGGGAGCACAGGGACCCCCAGGTGTCCAGAAGACACAGAACCCCAGTCCCTGGGGACCAGGACCAGGCAGCCCACTGGGGTCCACTGCCACACGACCCTGGTCTCCGGGCCACACTGCAAGTCACAGGGCACCCCTGCCCCTCCCCCGGACCACCCACTCACAGGAGGCCTGTAGGTGCCCATGTCCAGGTGACACTACCTTCCCCCTTCAGAGTGCCTGAGCCCCAAAAGGGAACCCCAAGTGGAAAATGAGCTTGTCTTGGGTGCTACAGACAGAATGCCCAGGATGGGGGGACACTGTCCCCACCAACCCACTCTGGTTTTGGGAAGAAGTCTGCGAGGCCAGTGTACTCTCCCCTGCTTCCTTTGTTCTTCCTGTTTTCTCTGAGACAGGGTCTCACTAAGTAGCCCAGGCTGGCCTCAAACTCATGATGATCCTCCTGGCTCTGCTCCTGAGTGTTGGGATTACATGCGTGACCCCCCTTCCCCTTCCTTCTTATTTAAAGGCTGAGAGATCTCTGGACCATAGTCATGAACCCACAGAATGAGCCACTGGTGCTCAGCAAAGGTCCAGCTTCCAAAGGGCGCAGGAACGGTTCTGGCCCCTGGGAGCAGACACAACCTGGACCCCAGAGCCCAGAGACACAGGCTCCACACCCCAAAATCTATCTGGTTTCCCTTTCCAGACCTCACTGCAGATGGTATGCTGTTCTTAGATAAAATTAGAAATAGCACATCCCTCTCCATCCAGATGGAAAACATTACTATCCTTGAAGCTAGGGCTATTTCCTTGATCCACTGGATCACTAAATATTTACTGACACACCATAAGCAACATATTGTGTGGGAAATACGAAAACAAGTAAGATGCAAGGGATCAGGACAATATGTGTGAGCCCAGGCACGAGGCAGAGACACGGAGTGCTGGAGGACAGACGCGAACGCCGCCGGAGAGCAATGCAAAGGGGTGGCACTTCGACACCACGCTGCTCAGCACCCACGTTCTTAGCAAAAGTGGAGATGTGCATGTGGACAGCAAGGTTGGGACACGAGCCAGGAAAGGTAGAACATCTCTAAGGAAAGGTTCTGAGCAATCAGTGTCCACCATTCGGACTCCCCCAGCCCCAGAACAGACAAATGCTCTGCTTTTACAATGCAGTCCTGGGCGTTGATTAGAGACTGTTGCAGGTTGGCCAGAGTTAGCGCCTTCTAGAGAACTGCAGAAAGAGCAGGTGCCAACTAGCTGTAACCAAACTCACCACACGGGGCGCCACAGCTCCTCTTTAGACAGGACCCCACCGGTCCTGAGCGGTTTTCACCTCTGCGGAAAACTCCCCAGTCGCGTGAGCTCCATGGGTCCCTGGCCTCCGATTCTCAAACACAACTCCACAAAGTTAGAAAATCCAATCTGTGTGCTTCACAAAGGGCCTGCGCCCATGTGCAGAGCCACTCTTCAAGGCACGTTTCACATGACACACACCCTGTGGAGGGACTCACGCCAATAACTCCGTCTCAGGCTGCTTCCATAGAAATGCAGTCTCTGAATATGATGCTCACACTTCCTCCCAGTCAAACCACGTCCGCTTTTCTCTCTCCTGCCAGGGTACTTTAGGCCCACCTCCCATACAGTGCAGGCGGGGTCTCTTCGGACTCCCGGCCCATCTCTCTCCTGTCTGCCTCACGCTGTGTCACAGCAGGGCAGTTGACGATCCTGGGCCCTCCTGCGGCACACAGGTGGCCATCCTAACAGTCAGGCTAGGCCTTAAGAGGCAGGATGCCAGTGCGTGGACGGAAGGCTCCACCTCCTCAAGACCACAGAGGTCTGGGCCACACTGACGAGACTGGCCAGAAAAGCCCCGCTGTAGGTGCCACCTGTCTGGGCCAGGGGGACGCAGCAGGATGAGGCACAGGGGCTTCTGCGTCGAGTTCTGGTCAATAGGAAAACACATGCACAAGCTCTTCTCAAAGGGAACAGCACATGCTACACTCAAAGGGCACAGGCAGAGTGTGGCGCGTGGTCAGTATCCATGATAACCTGCCCCCTGGAGGCTTAGAATCCACGCACAGAGAGCCGAGATGGGAAAGCAGCCCGGGAGAAGCACGCAGAGGCACCCAGGCCAGGGCACCATGGACTCAGGCCCTGTCAGGCTCTGTCCTTCCAGCCTCTTCCTAGGAGGAGAAACCAGCTATGCCAAATTTCTATCTGGACACACAAAAAAGTACCAATAACGAAGACAGGCAGAAAGAATAGGGGCAGAAGGAAGGTGGGGAGGAGGGTGAAGGGGAAACGGGGAGGTGAAAAAGGAAAAGGAAGCCTCTACTTCAATTTAAACTGGTTTGATTTTTACAGAAACAACAACTGGCTGGGCATGGTGATCCACGCCTGTGATCTCAGCATTTGGGAGGCTGAAGCAGGAGGATCACTATGAGTTTGAGGCCAGTCTGAGCTCTACAGTGAGTGCGTCTCAGACAAAAAAAAAAAAAGAGAGAGAGAAGAGGAAGTAGCAGCAGCAGCACCGGATATTCCACAAATCTCTCATTTCCCCTGCCTTGAAGGGCACACTTTTGTTTAGGAACCGACAGCAGCCAGGCCCGTACTTACATGTCGCTGCCCGGGTTGGGTTTGACGGTGTCCTCGGCTGGCAGGCAGCACTCCATAATCTCGTTAAAGCCTGCATTCCCAATATTCTTGGCAAGCTGCAAAAACAAGTCTATTTCAGGACGCTCAATTATTAATGCATTCCACCACTACCCGTTACTCATACGTCTGATGATTTATTTAATGGCTGCTAAGAAATAGAGCGATAAAGTGGTTTGCTGTTAATGAAGATGGACAAAGCCTAAAGCCCAGAGGTAGCCATAAAATCGTGGCAGAGAAGCAGCGCGCCTTCCACAGAGGGGCTTTGCATAATGTGCCCTGGACAGTCCCCGCAGGCCACTGTGAGTTCCCTTTCCCACCTTCCCTCGCCTTTCCAAACCTCCTTCGGCATGGATCAAAGGCCCCCTGCCAGGCCTCTGTGCACCGAAGGCAGGTGCTCCACAGTGCAAGAGGCACCAGCCAGGCGGTCACAACTCCGGTCCAAGTAGCGGCCACAACCCCAGCTGTATGACAACAGACAAGCATCAAAGTCCATGAGCAGAGTGGGGAGGACACCTACATCACAGCAGCGCAGCAAGGACAAAAACAGGACAAGCTAGGGGAAACCACTCTGAGACCGAAGCCTTAAAAGTCACGTGGGGTCCCAATGTAAGGTGTGTCCGTGGCCCTCAGCTTCCTGATTTGTGAGACAGTCACCCCTCTTCACCGCACACTAACTGGACGTGAGGTGCTGTGCTTGATACAGGGGACACTTGTAGAGCACAAGTCATGGTGTGTAACACGCTACAGTGACAGTCGGGCAACCAGCCGCCTCTTGCATAAATGAATGACTAGGTGCTCCTTAAGAGGAGGCAGGAACTTAGCCATCTCATTTCTATTACCCAGCTCAGTACCTGCCATATGGGACAGCTTCCAGGTCAGACTCCTTGTTTTTTCCTTTCGGTTTTTTTGAGACAGGGTCTCACTGCATAGCTCAGACTGACCTTGAACTTACTGTGTAGCCAGGCTGGCCTTGAATGGGTGGCAAACCTCCTGCCTCAGCCTCCAGAGTACTAGGATGGCAGGCGTGTGCTACCACGCCAGGCTACATTCTTTATTTTTTGTTTTAAATTTTTTGCTGTGCTAGGGATGGAGCCTAGGACCTCTCTGATGCCAGGGAAATGCTTTACCACAGGTCAGAGTCTTCAATGTTTAAAGAAACAATAATACAAAGGTGGTCTTAGCACTGTGCTTAGGGAAAACAGATTTTTTGATGCCCACACTGAAAATGTTAGATGCTTCTGATTACTCCTTCATTAAATTAACTGTGCAGCCAAACAGCTGACGGAAATGCTCTGGGAGGCCCAGTGGCTGGGTCTGTCGTCTTCAGGGTAAGTTGTTGAAAGAGGAACCAAAAGGACCTGGGTTAGATTGGGTCAGAACCTCTTCCAGGAGGGAAGTGACGTCCAACAGTGAAGGGTTAGTGACGGATGCAGAAGACTGGTCTTCTTTCCTCTTTCTCTCCTTTACCTCTTTCTCTTTGGAGTATTGGGGATTGAGCCAGGATGTCTACAATGAGTTGCATCATCCGCCCTTTTTATTTTTTAAGGTATCAGGAATCGAACTCAGGGCCTCATGCTTGCCAGACAGGCACTGCGCTGCTGAGCTGTATCTCCAGCCCTGCCCTTTTTATTTTTTGAAACAGGATCTTACTAAGTCACCCAGGCTGGGCTTGCAATCCTCCTGCCTCAGCTTCTCAGAGTGCTGGGATTACAGGCGTACACCACCACAATGAGCTCAGGGGATTTTTTTTAAAAACACAGGACAGGAGACACACAAGGCAGCTTCCCAGCCGAATGAGGTGCCTCCTTGATTTCAGCTTGTCTTAAAAAGTGAATAAAGGTTCCTAAGTGGGTGAAGCATTAAACACCAGCTCCATATCCTCACTGTTGGCTTTGCAGCCTCAAGCCAAGATCAGGAGGTAAGAAACCAGGCCGCCAGGATGAGGTTTCCTGGACACAAGTCAGTGGTCAGGGCAGGTGACAGAAGCCCATGTGCCACGAGGGCACCACCATTAGAAGGACAGATCCGGGGTGGGCTCACGCTCCGAAGGCCCGAGGACAAGGCCCTGCCCACAGCATCCCATGGCAGGGACACAACCCCACACTGTGCCATCATTTCCTGACCATGAGTGATGGCAGTAGCCACGGCACCCCGCTCTGTGAGTGGGGCCACCCTGAAGCCTCCTCACCTGGGTTAAGCAGATGGGTTGGGGTGGGAAGAGGAGAATCCCCAGAAATCAGAAAGCCGCTTCCCTTCTGCCTGAACTGGCAGGTTCAGCAGGGGACAGCTGGTCCAGGGAGCCTCGGCACGCATGCGTCACACTCCTAGGGCTGGAGAAACGTGCAGCCTCATGGGGCTGCCAAGACCTAGCCTTTTGTTTTGTTTTGTTTTTTGAGACAATATCTCCCTACGCTGTTCAGACTAGCCTTGAACTACAGAGCTCAGGCTGGCCTCCAACTTGTAGTGGTCCTCCTGCCTCAGACTCCCAAGTGCTGGGATTACAGGCCCAGGCACAAGGGGCATGCCCAGCACAGGCAGGCGGGGGAGCTGTACAGTGCAGAGGACACTGGCAAACTCTGCTTTCTCTGAGGCCTGATATTTTTATTTGATATATCTAACCACATCACAAACGTCTCTGTTCTCAGTCTCTCTGATGCTTCTAAAAACAGTCCGCGTCTGTTTTTGTTTCAGGTACTAGGGATGGAGCCCTGGGGCACACTACCACTAAGCTATATATATCCCCAGCCCTTTTCATTTTTTATTTTGTGCCAGGCTCTTGCTAGGTTGCCCAGGCTGGCCCTGAAACATGCAAACCTCCTGCCTCAGTCTCCAAGGCAGGCAGGTGTCTTAGTCACTTTGTCATCACTGGGACAAAATACCTGACACCCACAACTAATTCTGCCTCCAGCTCAGAAGTTTCAGCCCATAGCTGCAGATTCAAACTCGGGAACAGTGCAGTGGAGGGCCTGGCAGAGGAAAGCCGCTCAGTCACATGGCCAGGAAATAGAGAGCAAGGAGGAGCCAGGAAGCTGTTCCAGGCCCCAGCCCAGGGACCTGCTGCCACCAGGCCCCAGCTCCTACTGCGCATTCAGCTGCGAGCTCATCCATGATGAGTCAATCCACTATGAGCACAGCGGCCCGGGACCCAGTCACCCCCCCCAAAGCCTGCCTCTGGGCACACGAGGCTTTGGGGACACAGAGCACTGTGATGACAGGTCTGCGCCAAGGCACCTGGCTGCAAAGCTGTGGTTTGCATGCAGAGCACAGAAACACAGCCTCCGCAGTTCAAGGGCCCTGAGTAAATGTTGGCACTGCTGCACCAGGCGAGCTTTAGTCTTTCAGGCCTGGCTTAGGACAAACACAGCATGCACTGAGCCCCAGTGACAGTGTCTGCAGCACAGCTGTTACGCAGTGGCTCGCAGCCAAGGGGGCATTTATCATGGTCCTATGTGAGGAGCTATGAGCAGGGCCTGGTCCTCAACACTCCTATGCCACGACCCCAAATCTGTGGAGTGGGCAGGAGGCAGAGCTGGGTGGCTCCTGTCTGCTCCTAAGCTTCCTCACACCTGCTCTTCAACTTGACAGATTTATTAATTCCACCAATGGTCCTGCCATGGACAGAAGACACTAGTACCCGAGGACCCACGGTGCTGTTCTATGACCTGAAAAGTGACCCTAACCCTAACCGTAACCTCTGTTAAGGAAGGGATTGGTACTTTTAAAAATCAATGTTCACCCAAAGGTTTCCTGAAGGCAGGTTCCCCGAAAACCTGAGCTTATGAAGCTACAGTGTGTTGTTATTAGGGGGACACAACTTCCCCGAAGTAATCAAATGAATGCAGCAGCTCAAGTTCCATTTCATTGCATGAGAAGCAGTTCTAAAAGCAGGTACAAGGAAGAAAAGATTACCACTAACCAGACCCCTGCATAGCTGCTGCAGAAGCCCATGCAATAAGTATGAAAGACAAGATAGCCCTGAAACAAGAACGAGGTGGAAGGGAGATGGTGTAACAGCAAAGGCCCAGCATCCAGGAAAACTGCAGGGCTGGAGACCAGAAAACACACTTCCTGATTAAGCAATAGGATCTTCTCCTGAGGAGTATGCAAAGGCCATATGGAGGGTGGGTGACACTGTACTGGGCGAGCATCTGTCTGCTAAGGGACACAGTGCCAGAGAGAAAATGGAAATGAGAATGCAAATCAAACCAGGCCTGCTCACAGACCTGCTATCTCTTCCAGCCCATCTGAACCTTTCCTACACTGAGCACACACCTGTATTTCTAGTACATGGAAGAAGCAGAGGCAGGAGGATGACAATTTAAGCACAGCCTGGGCTACACAGTAAGTTCAAGATTAGCCCAAAATACATAGTGAGATCGTGTGTCCCAATGAATCAGTCAATCCTTTTCCTCACCAACAAAAGCAAGGATAAAAAGAAGTGCTTTAACTAAAAGACTCCTGCACAGCAAAGGAAACACTAAAGAATGACAAGCCCTTCTGTGTAATGAGAGATTATTTACAAACCCACATGTCTGAAAGGGGATAAAATACACACTACTTAAAAATGCAAATAACTCACTAGCAAGAAAGCACTCCGTCGAAACACATGTGAAGGACCAAAACTGGCGTTCCTCAGAATACATAAATATGGCCAAGAGCATCACTGATCATCAGGGAAATGCAAAGTAAAACCACAGCGAGGTATCACCTCATGCTTGTTAGCATGGTTTTTATTCAAAGGACAAAGATGCCAAGTGTCACTGAGGTGGGGAGGGAAGGGGACCTCTGTACTCTGCTGGTGGGGATGGAGATCAGCACAGCCTTTGCGGAAAATAACATGGAGGTTCTGCAGAAAACTTAAAACAGATCTAGCTGTGTTCCACCAATTCTACTACCAGATACACATTCAAAAGGAAATGAAATCAGTATGGAATCAACCAACTGCCTGTCATGGAATGGGCAAGGAAAGTGTGCTACGTATTCACTAGGGAGTACTATGCAGCCTCAGAAAAGAGTGAAATCCTGTCTTTGTGACTGCATCAACAAACCCAGAGGACACAATATTAAGCCAGGCACAGAAAGCCAAGCACCACATGACCTCACATACTAAGGGAGACATAAAGAAGTCAAACTCATAGAAGCTACCAGGAGTGGGGTGAAGAGAGACATGAGTCAAAGGACACAGACCTTCAGTTAATCGAGGTGAATAAATTCTGGAGACAGAACAGAGGGTATGGGAACTATACCTGAATAGAGGCTACTTGAAAACTGCCAAGACTAGACTCTTCAGGGGTGCATATGAGTTATACAGCAATTTCCTTTGGTGAACGTGTACACACACATAACACCCTTTGGTCTGCTCCATCCCTTCCCTCCTTGTTCGCTTCTTCTGTTCTCCTAGTCGCCCATCTGCAGTAAGACTAAATTTTGTGTTCTCATCACAAAAACAGGGAGCACTTGTGGGGACGGATATGTGAGGTAGCTTGACTTAATCAGTCCACACGGACATAATGTATCCAAACATCATGGTTGGCAGGGCATGGTGGCACATGCTCGACTGTAATCCCAGAACTCAGGAAGCAGAGGCAGGAGGATCTCTGTGAGTTCAAGGGCATCCTGGGCTACATAGTGAGATCCTGTCTCAAAAAACCAAGACAAAACAACAAAAAAACCACAGTTGTACATCAAATCTATACTATAAATTAATAAACTCCCTCTTGTCAGAACATGTTACCCTGAGGCATGGGCTGTCCTGTTATTTAACCCGAAAGATGGGACATGCCTGAGAGCTGGTCCAGGCTGCACGCCCTGACCTCCTCTCACAGGCTACAAGAGGCCCAGCCCACACCTGCGGCACAAGAAAACACTGTGACGAAAACATCGCCTGAAGACCCTGGCACCGCAGCCCTGGGGACCGTGAGGCTCACAAAGGACACAGCACAGAGCCTGGGCACAACAGGCAGCTCTCCTGGGACCAGGCGTGAGGGTTTGTGGGTGATTCTACTGAAAGACTTCTTGTTGAAATCACCTTGAGGAGGAGGTAACAATAGCTAGTATTTTACAGGTTTTACTAGCTGCTAGACGTAATCCTAGGGGCACATGCACACACAGAAAGACGTGTCAAGATTTTAGGAAATTCTTTGCTAGGCAGCTCATTGTCTAAGCAAAATAAAGCACAGGAGGCTAAGAAAAGGCTGGAGATCTGTATGCCTCGAGCTGGAGGGCTGCAGGCTGAGGTTCCAGGCAGGGCTTTGGGCTGCAGTCCCAGCACACAGGAAATTGGCGGGGGGTTGGGGGTGGGGGGGCATCTCCTCTGAGCCACTAGAGAATAGACAGCTCAAGTAAAGGGTTGGCAGGCAGCAAACCCCACACACAGCAGCACCTTCTGTAGAAGATGCTTTTAAAAGGGACCACTGAGAACCCCCCCCCCAAATTATATATAGCAAGAGCTGGGCATGGTGGCATATGCACCTGTAACCCCAGCAATCAGGAAGCTGAGGCAGAAGGATTACCATGAGCTCGGGGCCAGCCTGGATTTTACAGCAAGATCTTGTCTTAAAACACCAAAACCCAAAACAAGCAAACAAAAAAGGAACTTTGGCAGACAGAAACTGTTTGAATCGCGAAACTGCAATTAGGTGTCACAAAGGAAGACATCTTTCATCAAAATGGACACATCTCTCAGCCTTCTTTGATGCTTTCCTCTTTTGGAGACATCTTTAAGCAGCTGTAACAGATGTTAGGGTCAGGCTCCAACAGCTCATGAGAGCTAAATGTTAAAATTTTAGGAATTTTGTGATCCACCTGTTGAACTGATATGATTACAAATTATACTATATTAACTCAAAATAAAATATATTAAAAACTAAGGCATTAATCAAATTATCTTATTACATTTCCCTATTATCTATGTGGGGTTTTTTTGTTTTGCTTTTTTGGACAGCGTCTTGCTCCATACATAGTCCAGGCTGGCCTCGAACTCACTATGTAGCCCAGGCTGGCTTCAAATTTGCTGTAATCCTCCTCTCTCAGCCTCCCAAGTGCTAGGATTACAGGTTTGCACTACCATGCCCAGCTCTATGTTCCTGAGATTATTTCTGTCTGGTGTATTTGTAATGTTTTACAGAACTGTGTGCTGCTGCTACTCAAAATCTCCATCTTTGAGTTCAGGAATTCATGTGGGTCACCTGCAACAAACTGCCCACAGGGATGGGAGGGATGCAAACTAGGGTTCTTTTTCCCCAGAGGTGGTCAGTGGGGGTGAGCAGTCACATGGCCAAACAACCCAGCACACACAGGCCATGGCCTAGGCTCCTCTGAACCACCCCCCCGAGGGGGGTCTCTCTTTTTTTTTTTTGGTACCAGGGATTGAACTCAGGTCCTTGCACTTGCAAGGCAGGCAGCAGAACCACTGAGCCAAATCCCTGGCCCATCCCCCCCAGGCGTCTCTTAACAGGGACATAGCTCTGGGCACGTAAAAACATTCCAAGCCTCCGTTTCATCCTCAATAAAGCAAGGATAACATACCAAGAACATCAGGTTGTCGCAGAGATCAAATGAGCTCATCATGTAACATACTCTTCAACACGCCTAATGCAAAACAAATTTCACCATAAATCACCTAATGCTTGCCAGTGCTGTAAGCAAATCAGTAAAATAGCAACTGCTACACTTCTTCAGTGTTTACTGCCATGATCTGTATTTACCTGAAAATGCAACAGCCTCAGCTCTACACCACTATAATCTACCCCAAGACAGCGCAGGCACACATACTGCAGGCCATGCATGTCTTCAAAGCAGAAGCAGCCACTGCAGTGACCAGAGTGCACTGGGGCCCTGCTGTGCCTGGCTTAGTCTCAACCTTTAAGTCACCCGGGCTGACCCTACCCAGGCCACCAGGACCCACTCCAGTTTCTCCCCACTTGACTGCCAAGACTGCAGACTGCGAGGGGCCCTGAGAGAGTTCAGGGGCATCAGGAGGCCAGACACGCAGGTACAGAGCACTGTCAAGATGATTTATGGCCCCATGCGGGGAATACTGACCATGGTCATTGATTTTCCGTTGAGATTATTGCTCTTGACATTACAATCAATGGCAACCACTATCCACTTACTACGCCTGTCTGACACCACTACCTGGAGAAAGATTTCAAGCACTGCCTTCGAAGCAGCAGCCAAGGACTCTGAACTGGCCCAGAGGAACTCAGGTTTCAGGTGGCCAGCAGCACAGACCGAGGCTGATTCACTTCTGAGCTGGGCTGCATGCAGCCTCAGTTGTGGGAAAGCTCCTCCACGTAACATACTTCTAACCTCACCTCTGTGGCAAGGCTTCTGTGTGGCGGCTGAACCAAGAATAAAACCTTTTTAGGGAAGAGGGAAGCAGCAATAGATACAAAGACCGGCATCTCTCCCCACAAGGAGAGGCAAGAAGTGACCAAGCCTTGTCAGAAAGCAGCTGATGACTCAGCGAGGACAAATTCTCTGTCTTTCTGCTTTGGTTTCTGCATGTGTTTCACAGACGGAGAAAGTGGACCATGTGACCAGCTTATCGCATTTCTGCAGAATCTCACACCCAAATCTTGGGTTTGCTTCCTATTTTTGTATTTAAGAATAAAGTTTTGCAACAAGAAGTGTCCACTTGCCCAGCACTGAAAATGAGGAATTATCAGTGAGTTTCTAATTATCCAAGCCCATCTGGCAACATAACCACCAGCAGCCCACTGATATTTCAAGGAACCAAAATGGATTAGAATGCCAAATAAAAACTTTCTGCTCATTTAATTCCAATCCCAAAATCAAGCATTTAAAGATTACCAGCAGCTCAGATGTTCCTAGCACATCTAAGGTCAGGGACTGAATCCTGGAGTAGTGAACCCCCAGCTCTCGGTGGATTCCAGAACATTCGATGCAGGTCAGGATGCCCAGGTTGGTGGAAAGCCACGTGGGATCTGCCAAAGAGGACAAGGCAGACTTGAGCTTGCAGTCAGGAAAAGGCCAGGAGCACAACATTTTCCTGCCTGGTTACTGGGTATGGAGTTTTGAACATGAGTGTTTGATTTTCGACACAGCTGGAACCTTCGATCTCCAAAATTAGCACCAATAACCATGTGATCCACATCCAGGCAAAAGTCAAGTCAGTTCTCCCTTCTCTCCCCACCTGCACCACCTCCCCATCTTCCCATTCCTTAAGCAGCAGATGTCGTGAGCACACAGTAGGACATAGGGCTCTGGAGTGACTGTGAGCTCTTCAAGGGCTGGTCCTGGAGAGGGAACACAGCCTCCACCAACCTGGCCAGGCCAGCAGAGTGGAGCACGGGCAGCAGCAAGCGGCTCCAGGCTACTTCCCACGGGGAATGGACCTGAGACACACAGGCTGCAGACGATGAAGGCAAGAGCGAGCATCCACTATCTACTGGGGATCGAACTCGGGACCTTGTACTTCCAAAGCAAGCAGGGGAACCAGTGAGCTAAATCCCCAGCCCCACTATCTACTTATGATGCGCTGTGCTCAGCACTGTGGGGGCAGCAGAAGAGTCTGCAACAGAACAGCTTCAGAAATCAGAACGCATTCCTCGCACAGCTGGCTGAAGCATCAGGGGCCCATGAAGTGGCCAGGATGTGGATGATCTCACTGTGCAGAGCAGCCCCGTAGCACTCAGACCCAGGCAGCCCGAGTGCGGCCAGCACAACTGACTCTGACTAATGTGCCAGTGTCTGAGACGCCTACGCATGTTGCTGTCTTTATCTTTTCTCCAGCAACAGCACAGTTCATGACTTATCTCTCCCTACCTCATCTCCTGCCCAAAAGATATTTTTTAATGGAGCCAAGACCAAAATGTAGCTAGCTGTCAGGGTAATGGGAACCTAATGGCATTTTGCAAATGTCCACTCTATTTTGGTTGTGTTTTTAATAGAAATGCCCAGAATTGAAGGCACTAAATGGTAACTGACATTCTGGCAAAGCTACACTCTTTCTCATTTTACAATTTTCAAAAAAGGCTACGACATAGTTCCACTGACCTCCCCCAGGATCCTTCCATCTTAATTAGAATAAGTCAACTCCTCAAACATTTAAAAAATACTAGTTGTTAAACCAGGTATGGTGCACTCCTATAATCCCTATACTTGGGAGGCTGAGGCAGAAGATTGCTGTAAATTCAAGGCTTGCCTGGCCTACATAGTTAAATTCAAAGACAGCCTAAATTTCATAGCAAGATTCTATCTCAACAGCCTGCCCCCAAATAGAAGGGATGGGAATATAGTTCAGTATGAAGCCCTGGATTCATTCTGTAGTACAATAAAACAAGCAAACAAGAAATTTAGTTGTTGGGAAAAAAAATAGTGACGGCAGGCATGGTGGTATGAACTGCAATCCCTGTTACTCAGGAGCCTGAGGCAGGAGGGTCACAAGTTTGAGGCCAGCCTGGGAAACTTAGTGAGAATCGGTCTCAAAATGAAAAGGGCTAGGGATGTAGCTCAGGGGTAGAGCACTTGCCAAGCATGACCCAGGGATCCCTGGGTTTGATCCCTAGAACACCCCCACAAATTGACACCGTGTCTGATATCTTTTTCAAAATACAAACACAAATGTCATTCCTGACAGTGCAGTGACAGTGACAGTAGAGAGGGACTTGCTCCTTAATTTTACAGAAAACTGACATTTTAAGAAATTTATAGGGGCCGGGGATTTAGCTCAGCGGTTCGGTGGCCTGCCTTGCAAGCACAAGGACCTGAGTTCAATCCCCGGTACCAAAAAAAAAAATTTTATGGCTCTTGACAATGATTGAAAGCTACATTAGGGCAGGGGATTTAGTTCAGTGGTGCTGCTGTCTGCCTTGCAAGCGCAAGGTTCGGAGTTCAATCCCTGGTATCAAAAAAATATAAAATAGAATAGAATAGAATAGAATAGAATAGAATAGAATAGAATAGAATAGAATAGAATAGAATAGAATAGAATAAAATAAAAATAGAATAGTAGAATAGAATAGAATAGAATAGAAAATAGAAAAATAAAATAAAATAAAATAGCTACTTTATTTATAGTGGTGCTACGGATTGAATCCAAGGCCTTTGCCCTAAGCACATCCCCAGCTTCTTTTGTTTAAATTTTGAGATCGAGTCTCAGTAAGTTGCCCAGGCTGAATTAAAACTTGTTCATTTATTTATTTTTGAGATGGGGTCTATGTACTGCAATCCTGCCTTGAACTTACTATGTAGCCCACTCACGCTGACTTCAAACTCAGTGATCCTCCTGCCTCAGCCTCCCAAGTGCAGGGATTAGAGTGTATGACCACACCTAGGTGAAAGTTATCTTAGGAGGTCTATAAAGTCAGACCAAGAGAGGCAGCAGGAAATCCCAGGCCCCTCCTGAACACCCACAGCCCCTCAGAAGCCACAGGGGACCAATGACTTCGACTCCCCGTGGTGCTTTTCAGTTCTCATTTCTCAGGATGCACTGATCTCTGTGTCTCCATCAGTCCTACTCTCAGGGGCTGGCAGTGACGGTCTCTTAGCCCTCGCCCAGCAGTCTGCACACACCTCATTAAGCATTTGTGTAATGGGATGAACTCAGGCTGAGCTGCACTTAATTTTATATTTGAAGTGGAAGTGAAAATCAATGAATGGATTCTGTGACTGGGAATGGGGCCTGGACGTCCCAGCACGCGGGGCGGGCAGCCCGGTCACCTGGTGCTCCACAGTCGCAGCACACGTCGTTGCCCGTCATCCTCTGCACCTCCGAGATGATCTCCTTGGTCAGCTCCTGCACAATGTTATTCTCCCCTGTATTGTCGTCACCCTTAAACGCGTTGTTCAAAGCCTCTTCCTTGCTGTTCTGCAGCACTGACATCCATCTAGACAAGTCATGGTGGTAAAGAGTCACAGCCGTGAACAAAAGGGCAGCCGCCCGGAGTCCCACCCCAAGCCACTCACATCTGGCACTCCTGCTCGTCCTCTGCTTGGAAGTGGTACGTCCTGTCATCTGCACCAAGAGGAAATGCATCAGTGCCGAGCGATCCCAGACAGTAATTCACACACAGTTCCAACCGAAAGTGGTTTATAATTAACTGCAGGAATAATCTCAGCCCTCACTAGGAAATTAATGATTTGTATAGAATCAAGCACTCCCTGAAGGCCTTCAAATGTCTGCCCTCACCCAGTAATTGTGGCTTTGTAATGCTAATTCATAAACTGGCCTTGTTTCAGGACCTCTAAAAGACGCAGCTCCCAGAAACTGGAGCTGTGTGAAGGAAACCATCATCATTCTATCAAAACGTTTACTTTTTAAACTCACTAGAGTTGCCCCCAGAAAATAATTGTTAAGCTCTCTGAAAACAACAGAAGCCTTTTCTAAGTGGAGTATCCCAGACACTTCCTGAGAGAAAGGTAAGCACTGCAGGAGAAAGTCTAAGAAAAACCAGCTACGGGAGCCCTGTGCTCCAAACAGCCAAAGCCACGGGGATCCTGCCAAAGAATAGAATGGTGGCACTGAAATGCCACCCTCAGGTACTGCTGGCATATTACAGAGCTTGGCAGGGCTACTGGCCCGTCTGTGTGCTAAGGACAGAACATGTTAGATGTCAGTGGTGCTTTTGTGCTACTCTTGCCCAAATCTCCTATCTTCGGTTCAATGAGAAAACATCAGGGAAATCCAAAAGGAGAGACACCAGAACTGATCAATACTCTTCAAAAGGTATCAAGATCCTGAGAGGTAAGGGAGACTGCAGAGAGAACAGATGAGTAACAACTGATTACAATGCAGGGTTCTGGGGGGATGCCAGGCAGGACAGGGACATTAGTGAGAATCCGGTAAGACCTGGGCAAGACAAGCTCACCGCATGATGCCAGTACAGACTGCCGGTTTTCCTAACTGCTCACATGGCGATAACATGCACCATGTGCCAAGCAGTGAAAGCAGCTGTACCCCAAAAGTGAGCAGACACCAGTGGTTTTCTAGTTGTGGGTTTTACTCCTGAAAGCTCCCTGCTCCTGAGAATAGCCCTGTGAGCTACCTGGGCAGAGACGGAGACCTGAGAGGAGAAGGGGCCCCAGGTTTCCTGACTCCTGGCCTGACCCTCTTTCCCCACACCATGCTGCCCTCCCTTCTGTTTCTTTCTTCTTCTTTTTTTTTTTTTTTTGGTACTGGGGATCGAACTCAGATCAATCTTTCGTTTGAGAGGCAGGCGGTAGCACCGCTGAGCTAAATCCCATTGCCTCCCTTGTTTTTTTCTTTTTTTTTTTTTTTTTTTTTTGGTACTGGGGATCGAACTCAGATCAATCTTTCGTTTGAGAGGCAGGCGGTAGCACCGCTGAGCTAAATCCCCAGCCCTGTTTCTTTTTTTAACAACGGGGGAATGGAGCCAGGTTTTCCTTTATCCCTTCTGTTACTGAGGGGAGAAACAAGGTATAAGAGAACCGTTTCAAGTTGAGGAAAATGAAGTCATTTTATGATTCAGAGGCCAGGTTCAAGTGTGCAGAGAAAGAGGCAGCCGTAGTCTCAGGCATGGACGTGTGCAAGCTCTGCAGCCCGAGACCAGGCTTAAGGGACTCAGAGATCTCAGGAAGCCATGACTTGGGAGATGATGCCGGTGTCCTGCACCTTGTGCAGAGCTACTTCTGGCCAGACCAGGCAGAGTCAGGGAAGCCAATGGCTAACTCTGCATGCTAGCTAATGTGTGATGTGAAACGTGGGCCTCAGAAACGTCCAAGAAGCTCCTCTGCTGTGGGCTCTTATGGTGCATGTGAACCACGGGTATTTCCAGTGGCCTCCGCCACGGAAGAGAAACAGGGGCCCAGGGAGCTGGGTCCTAGGGGTCAGCTGCCACAGTGCTCTTGGGTGTGGTGGTCCCCATGTCTGAGGGGTGTGCCCATCCTCCCTGGCTACAAATGTCACAAGGTAACAGACTCAGAAAGACTCCTGCTGGGGTACCAGGCCAGGAGGAAAGCGCCTTCTGCCTGTGTCACATAGGCCAGCGGTTTCCTCTGTAAATGCAACTGGGCCGAATCCCTGGGTACCCCATATTCACAGAGGGCCCTGGCCATTCCTTCCCCAAATGGTAACACTGCCACATAGGATGACAGGGAACAGAAGGTTTGTCCTATCTCCTTTGCCTTTTTTTTAGGGGGGCAGTACTTGCGAGGCAGGCACAGTGCCACTGAGCTAAATCCCTGGCCCTGTCCTATCTTCTTTAAAAACCTTTCCAGCCCTTTTCAGGGGTTTGGTGAGCGCCATAGTAGACGATTCTGTGGTGATTCAACAATGAGGAAAAGCACACAGAAGTGGAAACACAAACACTGTGGTGAGAAGAGTTCTCCAAACTTGACTTTCAAGGGCTCCACCCAAGACCCTATCATTTTTGTTTATAGCGTTTCTAACATAGTGACAGTAAATTATAAGCTTTGGACAACAAAATTGTCTTTAAAAAACAAACAAACAAAAAACAAAATCAAAGCTGAGCTGGGTGTCATCGTTCACACCTATCATCCTATGGGGTGGGTCTGAGGCAGGAGAATCACCAAGAGTTTGAGGCCAGCCTAGGCTACATAGGGAGTTCAAGGTGAGATCGTGTCTCAAAAAAACAAAAAAACAAAGCCGTAAGGACTGCGTGTCTGAGAACTTTACTAGTGCAGCCCTCATTTCAATGGGAGAGCAGACGGTGCAGAGTCAAGGTTGAGAGAGCCGTAGAGCAGGGCTGCTTCACCATGTCCAGTGCTCAGCCAGAGAGAACAGTGAGCCAAGAACCACTGCTGGAAAGACAGAGCAAGCAGCTTGCTTGAAAAGGGGAGCAGCTCTTCGAAAACCAGGGCTTTGATCCCCAGTGTTGGGCACGAGACTAATACCCTAGACGCACATTTAACAAGATTTCCCCCCACGCAGCAACTCCCAAGAGTCTCACGCGAGATAAGGTCGAAACACTTCTTCTCCTCGGGGTTGGTCTTCACCTGGCAGGTCAATAGGTTGAGCTTCGCAGGAGGCCGGTTAGCCTGCGTACGACAAATGACAGGGAAGGTGAGCGGGAAGACATGTCTTCTGGGGAAGATATGGCCAGGGTGGGTGGGCACTTGCTCATCTGCAAAGCCGGATTTTAGAAGGTGACTTCAGGGTCCCCAGACCCTGGCTCCGTGAGGGCCTCCCTGCAGGCACATGGAGTGGGCTACACAAAACCCGGACTTGCGGGGGAGCTCCCTAAGACCAAAATGTTCCAGGACCCAAACCCCACGACACAGAGCTCTGAGTCCTACGATGGCACAGTGGTTTTGGGGGTGACATGGGCACCCAGCACAATATCTGATGCTCTGATGGGTTTTTCTGAGTGGAATGCTCACTTCCAGAAAAAGTAATCTCAGCACGAGAGTCGAGGGATAATGATCTTCCCTGCTTTCTAAAGTGACAGCAGACAACAGATTCATAACCCTAAAAGCCCACTATCACTGACTGTCTCTGACACTTCAACAAAACACACTTCATTCACACATGCTCCCAACCCCACACACAAGGGATCCCAAACACTTCTTTTTGACACTTTGTGTCAAAAATGGTTGTTCTCTTAGTTTTAAAAAATACCACTGTTAGTCCTAAAATGCTGTGAACGTGAAGTGTGTTAGAAATCTTTGAGACTTCTCCAAATACAGACAGGCTTATCTTGCTCACCTAACAAGCTGCTAAAGAGGAGATCAAAGGAATGTATGGTACACTTCAATTGTTCTTCTTCTCCACTTGCTCTGACCACAAGCTATTTGGATGTGGCCTTAATCCAGACCCATCTGCATCTGGACTGGGGCAGGCCTGTGCGGTCGGTCCCCCTGCACTCACAGACCCAGGGCTTCTCAACATGGACTTTCCAGAGCAGGGGGAGGGGCAGCCTCCTTAAAACACACTGATTCTCACCGTATGCAGGTTTGATAAAGGGCGAGGGATTTAAAGTCAGGACACTCAGAAGCTGCATAAATGGGGCAGGCCTAGACTCTCCTAGTTTGTGGCTATATTGATCTTCTCTCCTATGGATGGATCTTCTCCACCCCTGGAGATTCCTAACAGAATCCTGGGGTCATCAGGCACCAGCTTCAGAAGCCCCTGCGCTGCCTAACCTTGCAAACCTGGACAGACAGTGGTGAGCAAAAGCACCATCCACTTGGATCTTTACCCATGGGACACCTGGCTCACCCAGGAACCAACACACGAACGATACAACCAGATGCAACCAGGCACAGTGACACAGGTGTCCAGCCCACGTGACACTGTGACCATCCTGTGATCGTGCACAGAGACACTGACTTTTCAGGGCTGCTTCCACACTACAGTATCCGTTCTGTCAGTGCCTACCAGTAAATGAGAAGCACTGTCCCCAAAGTCTACGATGAGGACTGAGCGGGAAGAGCTACATTCACTCAGTTATTATTAGTCTGTACTTCTGTGAGGCAGGCGCTGTTGTAAACATTTCATGAATTAATTCAAGCAATCTTCCTAACTGCCACCTTCTTTATGGGGATCAAACAAAGGGCCTCTGCACTGAGCCACATACCCAGTCCTCCTTTATGAATTTATTTGGAGAAAGGTCTCACTAAGTCCTCAAGTTGCCTGGGCTGGGTTCACACTTGCAACCCACTAGCCTCAGCCTGAGTGCTAGGATTACAGGATGCCCCCACCATACTTGGCTCCCAACAGTCCTTTGTGGTAGGAACTACTCCAATGCAACAGATAAAGATGCAGCTTGGACAAACAAAATCATGACTGGGGGTCCGCAGCCTGGGAAGAGGGAAACCAACCCCACTCCAAGGCCCAAGTACTTAGCTGTCAGGCTGCTGGGCTCAGTTGGTACCTCGAGAAGGCAGCTGCTCACTAAGACCCATCCAGGTCCCTTTGCATTTTCCCTTTTCTCTGCCAATCACTTTGCATTTTCAGGCAGCAAGGAATCAGCATTAGAATTATCACAACACCCTCTGCCTCTAACTGTTAATCTTTTTTCTTCCCCTGTGACATGGAGAAAGTTGCTCACCCTCTCAGGAAACTGCCCTCAAAGACGGACTTCCTTCTTTACAACAAAACCTCCCACAAATACAGAAAAGACCCAATGTCTTTATGTGGATTAGGAATAACTCTGTCAACAAAATCATACAAGCTGGCAATCCTAAGCACTATCAACTGTTCTCAGTTTTACACCAATAGCTGTTTGCTATTTGCCCATTCAGATTATCAGTTCACATCAAAGCTATATAAAAAATTTACAGGAGAAAATTCTGCCCATTAAATTCCTTTCACGCTGCAATTTGGAAAAGAGTGCCATGACTTACTTCAGCTACTGAACGATTTTATCTAATTCACAAGATTATCAGTGCCCCTCCAGAATCGAATTTGAGAAGACCTGGTTCAACAGAAGAGCTGAGGAGGAGGGGAAGAGTCCAGCCTCAGTGCTCGTCTTGAAGGTAAGGATTATTAGTGATTCTCCCAGCTCAATTTTGTCAGTCTACTTTTTGTCAATTGGTTAGGCTTTTTAAAAAATTTACGAGTTTGTTAGACTTTATATTTTAAATTTTAATTGTTTGAGAGTTAGTGGACAGTCCTTTACCTCGGCACAGTCCTCAGCCTTTGTTGGTGGCAACACTGTTGTATTTCATCCAACTACTGCTTCTCCCCAGTGCCAGGAAGCATGATTAGTCAAGGCTACTAAGGATCTCCTTCCCAGCCTGGGCAAATCCTGCACATGCCAGGCCAGGCGAGTCCCTGGGATTCCCACTGCCAGGGCCTGCAGCACAACACACAGGGAGAGAGAGGGCAGAACTCCCAGTGCGTGAGCAGAGGGGTGGAAAGCAGCTACAGTGTCCTCTCAAGGCATGGGGGGGTGGGGCCAGGGTAGGGCCCACCACTGTCTCGCAGTGGGAGTAGAAAGTGGCTCTAATGGCAGGCGAAGTATCCAGAAGTAGAGGGTCCCTGGAGGGGCTTTCACTCAGCACACAAAGCACTTATGAAACATGCACACTGTGTGACAGGCTGAGCTGGCAGCATCCTTCTGAAGTTGGTTATGACTACGCTGTAGGCACCAGAAATTGGGGCAACCCATCCAGCCCTAACGAGGGAGCCTCTTTGTCTTCTAACAGGAAGCTCGAGCACTAGAGACTTGGTGCAAAGCTACACTGCCAGCCAAGGGTTGCCAGGCCTGGTCCCCTCTGTGTAGCCAGAGCCACCAGCTGGCATGACCTGAGGCTCTGGACTCAGGGGACTCTCGATGATGCAAATGTGTTGCACCAGCCACTTGAGAGCTGTAGGAACATGAAACGAAACATGGTCTTTATTTTGTGTATTAAGGTGGCGAACCTGAATTAAAACAAGTAACTGCACCAGTGAAAAATAAACCACAGAATCTCCATCTCCTGGTCTCACACTGTTAATTTTAAAGATGAGAGGTGGTTCATTAAATTTGTCTCCTGTCCTTGACAGCACTCCTCCCCTCCCTACACCTATCTGTATGAAAAGAGCAGCACAGGAAGGCACAGACTGCAGCTCGTCTTACTTTTCCCATTGCTGAGACAAAATATCCAAACCCAAAGGTAAAGGAGGAAAGGTTTATTGTAGCTCACAGTTTGTAGAGGATTCACTCCATAGTTGGCTGACTCCGAGGCAGAGTGGCAGAGGGGCATTGCAGAGGAGAACCAGTTGTTCACGGCAGGCAGAAGGTAGCAAAGCAACAAGGGAACTACAGCTCTTTCTGTCCCTTATAAGAATGCGGGCTACTTAGGGCAGGTACACTCGCACCCTTAATCCCAGTGCCCTTGATCCTGACACTGCACCACAAATCAATTCCAGCTCACACACTAGATCCAGCCAGCTCGGAAAAGGCCCCACCTATGACTGCAGGAGGCTCTGGGGGGACATCCAGACACAGCAGTAACACTCTGGAAGGGGGTGGGATCACAGCGGTACAGAGGCTGCTTTCTGGAAAAGGGAAGGACCTCTCTTTGTGTGGCCAAGAAACACAGTCAGCCCAGCCCAGAGGTTGCCAAGCGATCCTACAGATTATACTTGGTACCCGCTGCCTTCTCCCTCTCACTTTGCTTAACAGAATCAGCACAAGTGAAAGCTCCCCACCCCATGGAACACAATCCTTGATCCGGGGACCTCCTTCAAGTGTGGCTTCATCCTGTATGGCTGATTCTCAGGACCCTACACATATCGATGACCTCTGAAAAGCCCATCTGTGCTCCTGTCCCACCCTGCCTTCCAGGGGGTCACCACTGTCCATACCTATGACTGGGGCCACTATGCACACAGTGCCAAGTGTGCACTGAGAAAGAGATGTAACACTGTCAGCGCCAGGTGGACAGCAGCTAGCACTGCCCTGAGATGATTCCCAAAATGTCTCCCAGCCCCTGCCCCTGGGGTTTTCACCAGCCCGGGTCACAGCAAGTGAAGGGAAAGCACGCCTAAGGCCATTGTGGGAAAAAACACTGCTGTGAAGGGCTACGTTTGAGACTGCAATTAAGATTCCTGATCTCTGAAAGCTAGACTGGTGCATGATTCTATTCTGATCGGTTTTTCTTGAGTTCAACACAGCCAGGGCTGTTCTCTCGTGCGGGTTCTTTTAAACACATTGATGGAAGAAGAGACTGATGAAGGGGGGGTGCAGTATGTGAGATTTCTACAATATAGTCACTGAAATCACTTTTCTCTTTTGGATTTCTACTTATTTTTCTTTTGGTACTGGGGATTGAACTTGGGTCCTTGTGTTTGCGAGGCAGGTGCCAGAACCACTGAGCTAAATTCCCAGCCCTTCTCTTTTGGATTTCTGATTCCCAGAGTTCTGACCAGTTAAACATTTTTCCCTTCATGGAAAAGCAGACATCTTCCCCGGTGAGACGTTTAATTTCCGGGTAAAGGATTGTTGAGGGAGCTGTCTGCCCTTTCATGGTTTCTGGAGGTGACAAGCTTCCAAATAAAGACATCTGGCTCATCAGTTATTCCCAACTCTGCAGAGCAGTACAAAGAAGCAAGGTTCCACCTGGCCAACAGCTAACTGTGGTGCAGGCCACTGAGTCAAGAACACAAAGAACCTCTTCCAACAGGGCAATTCTGCCAAGTGCCACCCTTGTGCAGCAGTGCCCACAGAACACTGTGTATTCTGACCTCACCCGGCACTGAGCCAGACCCCATCTAACGACACACAGCAGTGACCGTGGACCAAGAGAGAATACTTACGGTACCGTGGGATATGGTCAGAAAGCCATTTTTCACTGAACATTTCCTTTTCTGCCATACTTTTCGGATCCTTATGGATAAATGGGAAAAAACAGGCGTTTAGACATCCTGAATGCAAGGTTCAGGAGCACACACTCGACGCCAGCATCCAGCCCTCTACCTACCCATCGCTTTTCTTGTAGAGGTTGCCATTCCGCTCTGTGCCATGTTCCTTGTTTCCCTGAGGCTGATGTAAGCTATAAGCTGTACTCTGGCGAAGTTGTGAGTCCTAAAAAATGGTCAAGAATTTGCTTTTTAACATTCTCCGGGTCTTGATTCTTTATAAAGCAGTACGCAAAGACCATGTCGGGCCGAAGTTGCTTTTCAATTCCCCTCTTCTCAACACATCAAGGAAGGGACATAAAATCTATATCCAGGATCTCATAAAAGCCACCTACCACTAGGGTGGAGGAGGAACTGTCAAAAATCAGTTTCTAATAAACAGAAAGAATGAGCCCTTGCACAGGAGAAGGCTTTATTTTCCTATAAGCTTTAAGTTCCCAACGACAGCCGCCGCTCCTGAGAGGCCAAAACAGTGTCAGGAAAGAAGGATGTGACGATTAGAAAGGGAACAGCCTCCAGGCAGATTCACACACAGACAAGTTACCCAGGCTCTCTGCCTCGGCTTCTTTCCTGGATAAGAGAAAATACCCAGTAAGACAGTAAACCCCGGTGTGACCACATGTGAACACCAGGTACCTAACAGCACTGGCCAAGTACTCCCTCCCTCCCACCCTCTCTGTCTCAAGGTCGGGAGGCACAGAGGGAACCAAACTGCTCCCCATCCTGACCCAGGGAGCCCACCCAGGTGGTCCACTGGGAACCTGCCATACTGGGGGACTCCTGTCTACAAGCCCCTTAGGGCCAGCACCTGTGAGGAATCCCAGGGCCCGACCTCCAACAGGTGTACAACAAATGACACAGGCTAAGCCTGGGAGGAAATTCTGGCAGACCAAAGGAAAAGAGCGGTGCAAGGTGAGAACAAACAGGTCACAGGTCAGTAGGGGAGGGCTGAGATGTGTCTGTTTCTATTTCTTAAGAACTTGCCCCCTGCTCGAGCTTGTTCACGCTGGAAGGGGAAGACACAGAGACAATGAAATGCAGTGACTTGCTCAGGCAGTAGGCTCCTGACTGCCAAGAGCAGAGAGGGGAACAGAAGCCCACATCCCTGCTGCCTCACTGGGGACCTCCTTAGACAGGACCAGGCTCCCTGAAGACAGCAAACACTGCCCACCCTCAGGGACCTCTGCACACACCTGAACTAACGTATGAACAGCAAAGCGATCTGGAACGAGAGTAAGAATGAGTGAGACCTGAAGAGCAAATGGAGAAACCCCAGGGAGGCTTTGGAAGACGTGAGCCTTAAAGGCAAAGACAAGAACTAGCAGAGTGGAAGGGAGGTGCCCAAGGCAAGGGGACGCACACCCGAGACGTGGAGAGGACAGAGGGCAGCTGGGCCATCACCTGGGACAGGAGGATAGACGCTGCAGCCAGGCGGCACAGCGCACAGACCAGGACAAGCAGCCAGGGGCCACCTGGATGCTCAACAGTCTCAAAAGAGAAATTTAAAGTCTCAGAGATTTTTATTTTAATGAAGTTCAATTTATCTGCTGCTTCTTTTGCTCCTTGTACTTTGGGTCATGTGTAAGGAATCACTGCCTAATCCATAGTCAGGGAGATCTATACCTGTAATTGTAAAGTTTTCTAATTTTAGCAGTTGCACTGAGGTCTTAGATCCATTTTGAGTTACAGCAAGAGGCAGAATTCAGATTTACTCTTTTGCTCATGGCTATCCAGCTGCCTCCACATCACTGCTGAAAAGACTACTCTCTCCCACGCTGTCTTGGCGCCCTTGTTGAAAAACCCAGTGACCACAAATGTAGGGGTTTGTTTCTAGACTCTCAGCCCTATCTCACTGATCAAGCTGTCTCACTATATGCCAATACCACAAGTATTGACAGTCTTGACTGGTACAGCTTTGTGGCTAAGTTTTCAAATCAGGAAGTACTCTCCAACTTCATTCTTTTTCAAGCTGGTTTTGGCTAGTTCTTGAATTTGCATTTCCATAAGAATTCTAAAATCAGCTTGTCCGTTTCTGCGAAGAGGCAGCTGTGATTCTGATGGAGAGCCCAGTGAGTCTGTAGTCCCATCAGGGAAGCACAGTCACTGTCACTGTGTTAAGTATTCCAATCTAAAAACATGAGTGTCTGGCACTGACTTCCTAAGCTCTAAACACAAGCACAGTGACCGGAAGAAACCAAAAATCCTCATCCAGGCAACCTACAAGGTGCTAAGGCACCGCCCCCTTCCACGTGGATGAGTGACTCCAAGACAAGCGGACCCCTCCCCCAGCCCCACAGTGCTCAGGCTTCGGGATCACCCGAAGAGCTGTGCGCCCATGGGATGAGGACGGCCCTGCTCCTACCTTCTCCCACAAGGGCCGCACTGCAGCCCCAGAGCTGTGGAGCACAGCTGGCTTCATACACTACCCGGAACAGCTCAGTGGGAAGAGACTGCTCATCTGTATGACTCCAGACCAGTCTGTCAAGACAGACTGCACAACCAGAAATATGACTCTGAACTTGGGAAGAGGAGCCCCCCGCACAAAATCCGGGCACAGTCACGTGCCAACACTGCAGTGTGTTCGTGCCATGCACACTGGGATAGCTGCAAATCTCAAAGCAGAACAATGGGCATGCCTGTTCCTCCACAGAACCAGGCCTAGGCCACATGGGAAGAAAGGCAGGATTCTGTTTTATCCTTCTCTTTAGACCAAGCATTTCTTTTTCATTTGTTTTTTAGAGACAGGGCCTCTCTATGTAGCCCAGGCTGGCCTTGAACTCTCAGTGATCTTCCTGCCTCAGCCTACCAACTGCTGAGATTTCGGTCATGCCCCATCACACTCAGTCTCAAGCATTTCTTGAATCAATCAAAACATACAGACAATGCTGGGGATTTGGCTCAGGGGTTCCACTGCCTGCCTCGCAAGTGCAAGGGCCCGAGTACCAAGAAAAAAAAATTCAAAAAATTATTCCAAACATACAGACAAATCTGAAGCTAAGCTGTCACGTAAAATCTAAACTTCATAGAAGAAAACCTTTAACATAAATTGAACCTGCTATCACCCTTCGGCATCCTCAAGGTGACCTTTGGTGACCTAGCAATAAACACCCGGTCAAGCTGCGGGTGACCCTCCAGGGCCAAGGTGACAATCACATGGATCTCACTGCCCACCAGGGCAAGAGGTCAGAGAAGGGACCTGGCTGGGCCCAGAGTGGGGAGCTGGAGGCCAGAAAGGCAGCTTCCGAGGGGCTAAAACAACTCTCGGAATCTAGTCCAGCAGAGGCAGGGAGTAAGCTGCTCGTTCTCAAAACACATCGACAAGGCAAGTACAAACCCTGAAAGCTCCCCTCTGTGCCTTCAAGCTCTGCGGCCTTTAGTAAAGTCTACTACAGTGAAAGGAGAGCCAAAATCTACACGCCACTAACTATTAACTTATACAAAGGAAAAAGATACATATTTTTGAAGTTGATGGACAAAGCATGCACAATTCTCCAATTTATTAGAAAAACTGAACTACTTACTCTCCTAGACTTCGGTCACAAAAGGTAAATGCATTTGGGAGAAAAACAATAATATTAAGTTATAGTACAAGAACTTATGACACACTGCCAACAGTGAACTTTATACTCTGTAAAGTAGTTCAACAGCCATTTATCTAACAGGTAACATTTAGACCCATTCTCTTATTATCAAGGAAGTGGATTTGTGTTAACATCACATTTTATCTCAGCTACTTGAGAGGCTGAGGCAGGAGGATCACTTGAGCCCATGAGTTCGAGTAGTGAGACCTTATTTCAAAGGAAAGAAAAATTTATGGACATTATCACAAAATTACCCTTAAAATGTACCTTTTAGTGTTTTTCTTTTTCATAAGCCACCCCCAAAAAAAACTGCCAGTGTGTGGGCATCACGAACTGGAGGAGACAGTGCAAAGGAGGCCAGGGAGATCTGCTGGTCGGTGTGGCCACACATACAGCGGCCAGGGCAGGGGGCGAAGCCTGAAGGTCACCTGTCCTGAGTCCATCCCGAGAGGCAGGGTCCACGCCTCTTGACCAGAGGTGGACCAGAGGTCAGAGGACCGAACAAATGGCATAAGTGGCAGGGACAAGGTGAGACACCGAGAACTACTCATGTCGCAGGATCCGTACACATAGAGGCCCGGGATTTGGACTAACAGGCCTCAGGGCAAACCTCCGAGGTGCAGGGTATTGGGGATTGAACCCAGGGCCTCCACACAAAGCTACATCCCTAGCCCTTTTTATTATGAGACACGTTCTTAAGTCACTAAGTTGCATAGGCTGGGCTTGAATTTGTGATCCCTGTCTGAGCCTCCTCAGGGGCTGAGATTTACAGACATTCCACTATGTGCAGCTAAAATGGTGCTCTGTCAAAATTAAATCCCCTCACCTCTTTCTGCTCAACCTGCAGTGCTGACTTCAAAATATCACGAAGCTGTATCAGCTGCCTTCTTTCTTCATCCTGGGCCTGCTTGATCTTTAAGAAGTGAACAAAGTAGAGCAAAGTCAGCCTGAGGCACCAGCAGGTTGCTGATGCTCACAGTGCCTCTCCGTCCACACCTGTGTGTGCCAACCGCCTCCCCTCCAGCCATGGGAGAGGACGGGACACCAACTCTGCCTGGCACAATGGGGCTCTTTCTCTCCGGGCTGCACAGCTTGCAAACAGGAAAAATGCTGATCACATAAGCGCGGCTCAACCCCCATGGAGGGGAGCTACTCACCGTGTGAAGGTCTGTGGACAGCATCTCAATGGAAGGCTTGAGGTTCTCTACTGCTTTCAGTCCATCCTGGAAAAAGCTAGGGGATGAGAAGAAACAATGTGCTTCATGCAAAGAAGAATGTAATTCTCTTAGACAAAGAAAAACTTTAAAGGGAAGTGACTGTGGTCATTCTATAATACCCAGGGGCAAAGTCTACATGAACAGAAACTCAAAAAGCAAATCAAGAATGAAACAACACTCAAAATTAGAAGTGAAAAGTAACTGCAACAAACCCGAGTTTGTAATTTCTCTTGACCTACATAAAAGGAAACCTAAATTTCCCCTCTATAATGGGAAACAGGATTCTACAAGGGCAACAAGGGCCTTGCCTTGCTTGATTTGGGAGTCAGCTAAGTGGCCAAATGGAAGAACAGGGTGCCAACAAGAATAAGACACTGGAGAATTGTCCACAACAGCAACGGCTAAGAGCAGCAGGTAAAGAATTCAGAAAAAGCCAGGCAACTTTGATGTACATAAATGGCCTTGCTCCACCTGCAGAAGAAAATGTGGTTGGACAACTTAAGATTAAATATAAAAAGGAGTCTCTCTCTTGTTTTTAAAGCTCAGAACCCATTGTGTGAGGTCAAGTACGACAAGTGAACCAGGAAATACAAGCGAGGCCTGACGAGTCTTCCGCAGTGACAGGCAGCTGTGCACAACCCCACAGACAGGGAGGAAAGGCATCCTCATGGGCTCTGGATGAAGCTGACAGGGCTGGCCCGCCTGTGCGATTCAGCCCCGACCCACTCAGTTCCAAACACGACAGTCTTTCTCCATCTCTCCCTGGCTATCGACTCCTCCCTGCCCCAGCCCCACTTCTGCTGCTCTTCCCCACTGCTGCTCCTCTCTCCAGGCCTCTCCTACAGCATGTCTCTTTCACCTGGCTGTGCCTGCTCATTCTTCAAATTTGAAGGTAAACACTGCCTCCATTGTGAGGCCTTCCTTAACTCCCGACCTTAAGAGTTCTGGAGTCAGGCATGGTGGTGCGCACCTGGAATCCCAGCGCTTGGGCGGCTGAGGCAAGAGGACTGCTGCAAATTCGAGCCCAACCTGGGCTACATAGGGAGTTCAAGGACAGCCTGGACTACACAGTGAGCCCATCTCAAAAAAAAGTTCTCCCTAGTATACTTTGCCCTTTGCTCCAAAGTGTTTCCACCATCTATCTATGAGTGTGATTAACTTAACACACCCTTTGCCCATCACACCTGAAGCTCCTGGAGAGAAGAAGAGCTAGGATCCATAGTGTGGCTCAGGCAGGAAAGGAGGAAGGCACAGGAGTCGCCAGTTCTGTCATCTGGACACCACAGAAACCAGTTTCAAAATGTGATCTGGGGCCAGTTTCAAATATATTTGTGTTGTTTTTTTTTTCTTTTCAACCCAGCAGTGGCCCCATGGGACTTCCCACATCAAGTGTGTTACTCACAGCAGGCCATGAAAACAGGGCAGCCGGGACTCAGCTGGGCAGGTAGCCAGGCCTCTTCAGGTACATGCTCGACTCTTTACTGTACATCCTCCACCCTCCTCTCACCTAACTGACCTTTCTTCCTGCACAGCAATTATGCCCGGGTGTTGGCGTGATCTATCCAGCTGTCTGTCGCCACAGCCGGGACGGAAACCCAGGTGCTACCACCTCTGCCCCTTCTGTCCCCAGCACTGGGGCGGCACCGAGCAGATGCCCCTTCTAATGGAGAGGAAATTCGGAAGAACTGCAGCATAGTGGGAATGAGAGACAGGACTGTTTCCTTCTGTCGGGTACAGCTTTTCTTTACGTAACTATTTCCTCAAATCACTTCAAATTCATGTAAAATAGGCAAGGAGGGGCGGGGCGGGGCGGGGCGAGGGGGAGGAGAGAGAGGGGAGAGGAGAGAGAACATGCACACATCACCACGGGGTGCTACTACACTAGGGAGCAGGACAAAGACCGCAGCAGATAACCCAGGTGGCGCTGGGGAGCAGGGACAGGTGTGTGGCTGTGACTCCCCGTGGTGGGAGAGGGCCCGGGCTCAGGGACCCATCTCTCGTCACAGACATCACTTCCAGCATGGCACCAGACAGTATGAGGGAGAATGACATAAATCTGGGTTCACCATGTGGATGCCTCCCCATCTACAGGAAAACCTCTTTCCTTGGATTCACAGATCTCTACCTTCCTCCTGAGGCACACAATGTCACCCAGCACCTCTGAAAGTCGCTCAGGCCTGGCACTAAGGACAGGTTCCAGAAGAAGCCCGAGGGCTGCTCTAATGATCACTGTCAGTCACTGTTCCCAACATTTGTAAATACAAGGGCCTGCTGGCATGTTCCTCATTTGAGCCCTTCAGCATTTCCAGCCTTCCATCAAAAAACATTTATCACCAACATTATCAAATCAAATGTTTCTCCTATTAAATATTTTCTAGGCTGCTCAACCAGATTATTTTTTCTTTTGAGATGGGGACTCACTTACTATGTATTCTGGCCTGCCTTAGCCTCCCAAATGCTGGGATTACAGGAGTGCACCATTATACCTGGCTTCAACAGAGTTTCAAGCTGTAGAAGCACACCCGCTTTACATGCAGCCCCAGCCCTCCAGACCCCACAACAGGGTGTCTGGTCCCCAGCTCCAGGCTTCACAGATCACAATATTCCAAGTCTGCCGAGGGTACACAAGCGCTCATCCCCTCTCCCTGTACCCCTCACAAAGGAGCAGCCTCCCAAGGCTCCTGGACCCTAGTCTCACTGACTCAGCACCCTAGCCAGCAAGTGACGCTGCCCCTGAGGGCTTGCGCACAAAGCTCAAGACAACTCCATGACCTTCCCCTTTGGAACAGAACTGTCATGGTTCGGAGTCGCTGCTCAGAGGTGGCCCTGTCTCTCGGTTCCCCTGGAGAGCAGTTTCCTCCCTCTGACCAGAACAAGCTAAACAGCATCTACAGTATGTTCCAAGGAGCGAGATAAAGATGTAAATTATTTTCTGTAAATTTAGAAGTAAAAGACAAAGAATATGATATATTCTTCACAAACACAAGTGAAAACAGAGTGTATAAACAGCAAAATCATGCACATCTCAATACTTCTGCAGGTTTAATGTGATTCTGAGGAGCTGGTCACTCATGGTGGCCTCACTCCACAGAGGACAAGGTGGTGGCATGAGCTTCAGGCACAGCTGGCTGAGGGCTGAGAAGCAGCAACAGGGAGTGCTAGGGAGGGGACGGGCGGGACCCCACACTCAAGGCACAGGCATGGCCCCAAGCTCTGGGGTCCAATGGCTGAGGCTCTCAGGCTCCAGGTTTGATGCCCGAAATAGGAATTAAAGCGCAGAACTGCTGGGCTGACCTGAGGAGCATTCAGTCGCAGATACACACACACATATTCTCCCTGCCTCTCTCATTGGAGAAGGAAGTAATGGAAGATTTGCATTTTAAAAGATTACCAAACTCATGCCCATAAAAGGCCAACTGGTTCACTTATCCACAAGAGGTCTGTTGCTACCCAACTGACAGTTTGGGCAAAATAAAGAAGAAAAAGGAAATCTTAGAATAGCTTCTTGCTAAAAATAAAATATCAGCAAGGAAGCAATCCACTTCCTAAACTCCCTCTGGCCAGGTTACTAGGAGAAAGGAAGAGATGATCTGCATGTCACCGCCAGATGTCAGTCAGGATTTTGAGTCACTGTCAAAGAACTCATCTGGGAAATGCTTTAGGCCAGCTCTTTGCAGCCCGGCCCTCCTTTAACCTAGGATGAGCCACGGTACCCACACTCCTTTGCTATCTGTCCTCAAGGGCGGCAGCAGAGACACTGTCACTGCCCAACTGCACTCCGAATTCCACAGCAGAAGCAACAGCACGGTCACTGAAGCACATCTGTGCCAGGTATCTGCTGCACCCTGCCTGGAGATGGAAAATAAATAAACAACACAGCCCCACCTTAAGGGGGACAGAGCTCAACCTGGAGGAAGCCAAGAGACAGGTAAAGGGTGCTGGGGCAGCGCAAGAGACAAGCTATCCATGGGGGACAAGAACGGACAGTAAAGGACTGTAAAGAAGAAAAGAAAAAAAATGAGAAAATGAAAAAATGGAAATGAAGTGTTTGTAAAGGGGGAGGGGAGAAGGAGTGAAGGGAGGGCAGGGACAAGGAGAAAAAATAAGAACCAAGACCTGTCATGTAAAGGTACAAGATACCAATAATGAATGTAACTGTACTGTATACCTAAAATGTACCAATAAACTCAATGAGAAAAAATAAAAAAGGACTGTAAAGAAGGATCATATGATTTCTCTTATATGAGAAATCCAAACATAAATAAAGAGCAAAATGAGAAATAAAACACTAGGAAACAGGGAGACAGATCTTTTGCAAAAAGAAGACCAAGAGATGGAGGGAGAGGGAGGAGATGAGGAGGGGAGGGGAAGGGACATAAAAGAACTAATACGTCCACGCACCGACTCCCCATGAGGAATGTGATTATTCTATATTGCAAACATGTGCTAATACAAACATGACCAAAACCAAGAACCACCTCAGGAGCCTGACCTCTGGGAAGAGCAGAGGCTGGGGAAGGCAGAGGACACAGCATGACGCTCCAGGAAAAGGAAGAGCAGCCAAGGCACAGGGCGTTGGGGGGTGTGGAGAGGTAACTAGACAGGTGTGGCTACCTGACTTGCAGGAGGTCAAGCATGTGATTCATCCATACCTCCCAGCCCTCCGGGCCAGCTGAGACCACTGGTTTCCAGCCTGCACAGCACAGGTCCCTAGGTGACCGCCGGCACCCCTCTGAGTCACACTACACAGCTTCCCAAGCGGCCTCCACTCCTCTTGGCCCCTCACGAGGAGGTTGAGCCTTTCAGGAATTCAGTTCATAATCTGCCTCCTCTGGGTCCTCCCGGGCAGCCTCAAGGGACATGCCCTGCTCTCTGAGACCTTAGGGCACCAGAAGCCTGAACAGGGCCTGGCTCAGGGAGGAGCCCCACACCAGTGAATCCTCCTTGTACAACAGTTCAGAGCTCCCAACTCCGGGGCAAAATCTTCCCCTTGGATGGGACATCATGGCTATCCACATCTCTAAGGGTTTTCCTTCTACTTTTGTTTCACGCCTGTCTGGTCTTCTCCTGCCCGCTGGCCCCCAACCTGCTGGCTCCCACTTGTCTTCTAGACAACAAAACACACATCCTGTCAGAGGCCTGCAGTTAATTCAAGAAATAGCACCTACTTAAACTTTTGTCTCAGCTGACTTTCTGTATTATATTCTTCTATTTTTCCTCAGATTTATATACTTCAGAACCTTTTTTTGGGGGGTGCGATACTAGAGGTTGAACCCAGGGCCATCTCACTGAGCTACATCCACAGCCCCTTTTGTATTTTGAGACCAGGTCCTGCTAAATCACTAAACTGTCCGGGGCTGGGCTTCAACTTGAGCCTCCTTCCAGAGTGCTGGGATGACAGGTGTATGCCACTACCCCAAGCTCAGTACATTTTGTGAACATCTAGCACTGAGGTCCAATTCTCCAGGCAGGAGTGTGCTCTGTACCCATCTCAGAGCAGGGCCTGACATCAGCATGCGATCAATGAGAGATTGTTGGGTGAGGGAGTGAGGTAGGCAGGGGTCTGGTCCTATCAGTGGCTAGAGCCTGGGAGCAGAAGCAGATGAAAGCCGAGGGTAGACTGAAGGGCTGACACACAGGGCTAAGCTGAGTACTTCAACTTGGAAGTTCCCCTCTCCTCTGCTTATCATGGTCACTGGCTGCACAACATCAGTAATATGTGAAAGTACCTTCTTGATTTAATACCCTGTTATCAACACCATCTCACTCCTCTTGACATACAAAACACATCTGAACTCATCTCATGTATCAATCAGATCAAACTAGTTTGCCCCCCATGAGAAAAGCAAAAATCACTGTCTGTGGCAACTACTGCAAACTTTTTAAATACTGTAGACCTATTTCTTATTGAGATATGATTCTTAAACCATCACCCTTTTTTAGTGTACAGTGCAGAGAATTTTAGTATATTCACAAAGTTTTGCAACTGTCTATAATTCCAGGACTTTTCAATACCTCAAAAAGCGACCCCAGACACATTAGTAATCATTCTCCATTTCTTCCTTCCAGAAGCTGTGACAAGCAGTAACCTGACAGTTTGCTTATTCCTGGCACAGTGAGTAAAGAGAATCGTACAGCAGAATCATATGTAGCCTTTGCATTGGGGTCCCTTGATCTCGAGGTTCATCCATGTAGCATGTACTGGCCCTGCATTCCTCTTTCAACAGATCTCTAAGCATATGTTTAATCTCACTACAATGCTGCCACATGCGGAGAAATATTCAAAAGGAGAAAAGGACTTACTTGCACTGGGCATGGAAGTATTTGATCAGATTCTGAAGCAAATCCACTCCTTTTTTAATCTTGATTTCATTCACCTTCAGCAGATACTGTTAAGAAACATAGAAGGAACTGTCACAGGAATAAACAGTGTGAGCTTTGCAGGAGTTTCTGAAGACAGATTATTTCTTCTACTTCTTTGGTATCTTGTACATGGCAGACGCCTGATGTCCTCTGTGAGCCAGAAATAAATGCTTCTTTAGTTAGGTACCAAGTTATCTGCTGATCAGGTAATTAAATGTGTGAGAGCCATGAAGCCCTACTAATGGGACATTCCACCCCAGCCTGCTGGCAGAGCTCTACTCCAGCTGCACTAAGAGCAGGGCTTCCACCATCTCCCTGAGCTTCTGGCCTAGCTCCTTTCCGTGAGGCAGGTCATCATCCAGAACTCTGTCAACAGAGACCCCTGTCACCATGCTGCCAAACCCAAGACACTTCCCTCAAACATGGCTGTTAAAGAGGCAAGTTTTAAAATGAGAGGAGTTAAAGCCATTTCTAACTTTGGAGAATTCATCAACAACCATGGAGGTACCAGGAAGTCCCAGTGATCTATGAAGCTAGCGTCAAGAAATACAGGTTTACAGATGGAGGACCCCACAGGATCTGGGACATGAGCCCTGGAATGCTGTCTCCCAGCTGACACATGGGATGACCCCATGTCTAGTCCTCTCCTGGGTCGGCCTGCAGCCCAATAAAGGAGATAGGAAGCTGCCATGAAGCCGTAAGCCACCACTCCCCTTTATTAATAACTGCCTAGATATCCTCTTCTCCTTCCTTTTTGGTTTTTTTCATTATTAAGTTAATGCCTGGCAATGAATCAAAGTGATATATTTGTTAATAAAATGTTTGGCAATGTACCAATCCATAAAAGGCAGGTACCCTTTGACCCAGAAATCCTATTTACAAGAATCTGTTCTAAGGAATAATCATACAACTTACAAAGATTAAATAGACAAGAGTGACCATGGCCTTATTTGCCACGGTGCACTGCTGTGGGAAGGACAACTGCCACCAGTGTTTTGCTGGTGCAGCTGGGGAGCAGACCCAGGACAGGTGTGAGCAATGGCACACACCCTCGCAGCAGGCACAGAAGTAAGAAGGCTTGAGAACAGCCTTCATGATGGTGCAGCCTCTGAGCCTGAGGAATGAGCCTATATCCATCCTGCTGTGGTAGCTTGGTTCACAAATTTAATTCTTTCCGTGATTCTGGTTGCAGTGGAATTGCATGCACACCCATGCTTACAGAAGCACAATCCACAGTAACTACATCTTGGAAGCAGTCTGTATGTCCATCCACAGACAAACAGATGAAGAAAAGGAGTATATTCTGCCACAAAGAAGGGTTAAGAAGTCAGTGGTAAAAAAATAGATGTACCTTGGACTGTGGTGTCAAGTGCAATAAGTGAATATTTAACACAAGCTTAGATATTGTACAGTTTCTCTTAGGTGAGAAACAGAGAAATAAAAGAGATAATAGGAAACAGGAAGTCAGACCTTCTACAGGTAAGAAAGGAATGAGAGATAGAGGGAGGGGCGGGACAGGAAGGGACTGCAAAAAGAATCAAACTGTGTTATGTACACGTGCCTATTCCCCATGAGGAACGCAATCAATACCGATCAATACGTACTGCAAATTGTACTTAAAAAAAAAAAAGGTTGATGTTAGATGAACCCAATTCCACCTTCCAGAAGCCCAAGTCCCCACTAGTAAAACAAACTGTCCACAGAAGCCGAGCGCAGTCATCCCAGAGGGTGTGTTCTCTGAAGCCGCTCTGACCCAGGAGGAGATCACGCTGGCTGGCTCAGGACTCACTGCCAGCCACCACCCCAAGCCTGCTTGGCTGTGCCTTACCTCGCACATCTGGAGCTGGAAGAAGCGCCTCTCCTTTTCCATTTCCTCTGCGATTTCAGCCCCACTTATTTCAGTGCGAATCATCCCATGGAGCTTGGCATGTTCCTTCTTCTCCTTTTCTATTTTGGTTCTACATAGGGGACAGGGGAGCAAGGATGATCATGAGGCCCCTGGCCAGCCCAGGCAAGGCTTCAATGTGCGCCATGCATCCGGGAAGGCTCGGCTATGGACTCTCCAGGGAGGGAGACGTGCATGGTGGTGAAGGTAACTCCAGGAAGGAGGCTGGCAGTGCTCCCTGCCTTTCGATTCACAGAAGTCTGAAGACCACTACTGCAACATCTTCCCTGAAGTATGGTGGAATCCTACAGGAAATCCACCAGGTCCTGGCTTTTCTTAGTTAGTAGTTTTCATTACTGCCTCTCTTTCAATGCCTGTTATTGGTCTATTTGGAGTTTTTGTATATCCTTGGCTCAATTTTGGTAACTGCTTTGTGTCTATAGGGGGTTCTCTGATTTACCAGAATATAAGATTTCAAGGTAGGTTCTTATGCTCCTCCAGATTTTGGCAGTTTCTATGGCAATTCCACCTTTTTCACTTCTAATTGTATTAATACAGGCCTTTTCTCTCCTCTTGAGGCAGGTTTGGCTAAGGGTTTATCAGTCTTTTTTATCCTTTCAAAGAACCAATTCTGTGATTTGTTGATCCTTTGTATATTTAAAAAGCATCTTTTTTTCCTTCTATCTGTCTTGGATTTGGATTGTTCTCCCTCTTCTAGGACCATGTGACGAATCGTTGGGTTATTTATCCGGAATCGGGCTATTCTTTTAATGTGGGCAATCACAGCAACAAACTTTCCTCTCAGAGCTGCCTTTACGGTGTCCCCTAAAGACCCTCATTCTGGGGGACCAGCAGACCCCACCGGGTCTTGGTCTCCCATCTGTGAGGCAAGAACGCTGCCCACAGACAATGGATACAAAAGGTCACTGGGCTTAATACCCCATCCTGTGCCAAGACGGGCCTGCATGCTTCCCAAGAAATGCCACACTGTGGTCCAAGAATCCTGTAGCGTGGACAAACTGTGCCATGGACAGAACGAGTACCAAAAGGTTAGTATATACTGGTTTGAGCTTCGTGAGCCTTTCCTACTGAAAAGATGCCCAAAGCTGGGTTTTTAAAGAGCCAGCTGAACATTTAGAGTTATCTCAAATGACTTCCTTCCTAACAACTCTCCTTACCAGATGGCTTCAAATAAGAGTTTCTATTTCCATCCAGAAAGCCTCCAATCTCCAAGGCAAGGCACAGAGCAAACTTGAGTCATTTAAGAATACTTTCTGTTCTAACAGCATTTAAAATAAATGAAAGCCTTAATCCCAGCACCACTAGTTCAGTTCTCACTAGTCTGATCCTCACCCCCAGGATGAGAAAATGTGCTGGGAAAAACAGTAGGGTAATGGCCTGCAGCCAGCCAGGGGCAGGCTCGTCCACATGTGAGTCAACTACAGCCGCTCTTCATGGTCTTGTCTAGCACACGGAGCCATCAGACAGGTGCTGCAAAGTTTTCCTAAGACCAACGGGCTTGGTATTTCAGAGAAAGACAGGCCCAAGCTAAAAGCGGACAGTTTGCATAGATCATCAGGAAGACAAAGTCTGAAGATAACACTGCTCTCACGAACAGTAATAAAATGAAGAAAGGTTTAAAACAAGAAAGGAAAAAACACCACCTCTGACTAACTGGCCTTCACTTCTGTTATGGTTTATATCTGCATGCCTCCCGTAAGAGCCTCCTGCACTCAGGGATAGGCTGTGGGAAGAAGACTGGATCATGGATCATTGAATTAGTCCACCGATAAATTCATGGCTAAATGTGATGCTGGGAGGTGGAGGGGTTTATCTCCCTCCCTGGTCAGTCCCCTCTCCCCTCCCCCTGTCCTGTTGCTGTGCTGTGAGCAGCTCTCCTACACTAGGCCCCTCTGCCATGCCATCACGCTTGGAGCCAAGTGACCATGGACTGAACTCTATGCAAACTGAGAGCCAAAATAAACCTCTCCTCCTTTAAATTGCGAGTGAGGGTACTGTGTTTCACCAATTAAGAAAGTAACTGATACAACTTCTTTTCATGAACATTACATTCTATAACCATTACAACACCAAAGAAAAAGGAACAAAGGAATCCATAGAAAGAAGCCACCACCTCTGAATGTAGCCACCAGCTACATAGCATCTGTCCTCACAGAAACCATTGGGCATGGTTTTATGTAAATGCTTCCCTGGATTAGGATTTACTCCTACAAACCCTCTGCAGTCAAAGTTTGATTTAAAGTTGAAATCTCAGGGCTGGGGATTTAGCTCAGTGGTTCTAGCACTTGCCTCACAAGCACAAGGACCTGAGTTCAATCCCCAGCACCAAAAAAAAAATAATAATTAATTATTAAAGTTGAAATCTCAAATTATTTTACCCACACTCAGTTAAAAAATAAAAACACTCACATTTTTGTTTCATAATCCTTCCAAGCTTTGTCAAAGGGCTTTTTCAAATCCTGTAAACAGAGAGGCAGCAATTAAGCAGGACTAATTATTAACTTCTGTGCAACATAAACTTCCTTATCCCAAAACTGGTCTTGAATGGGGCATTAACTTGTATAATAAATGATGTACATGTATTAACTTAGATGAGTGGTGGCCTTTTTCCGTTTTCTAAATTTGTTTGTTTGACACAGGGTCTCATTATGCAGCTCAGGCTGGCCTTGAACTCACTATGTAGCCCAGGCCAGACTCAAACTCACAGTGATCCTCCTGCCTCAGCCTTCCAAGTGCTAGGGTTATAGAATATTTATTAGTGAATATAAGAAATGCACAAAAAAGTACAGAGACCCAAGTAATATGCTCACCACCCAGTTATAATACTCCCAGCCTGTCTTGTCACCTCTACCCTGCAAACATTTCAGTTTCTCTCTCCACAGAAGGGACTCTGAGTGGATCTCCTTTACGCCTACACCCTGGCTTGAGCCCAATGGTCAGAATCTAATAACCACCCACAATCTCCTAGGCTTTTTGCCTGCCCCTCTTTTCTCTCTGGCATTTAGGGCTTCAAACTCTCTTACAATGCCTGGCTGCAAAAATGGCCACTCAAAGCCCCATCACTGGTTCCCACACAGTCACTCTCCCTTCAGCAGGGTTCTTCTGGAAGTGTGAAACCCTTTTCCTTTTCTCTTTTTGGCTCTTCAACCCGCCCAGTCCCCTCCTGCCCCCCATCCCCACAGTCTGGCGTGCAGTGCAGTCCATGCATCTGCTCTGGGCCTGTCTCTCCTCTGCCCCATATCCTTCCTGCTGGGTTTCTGGCTGACTGTTCTGCTTCTTTCCCCTGGGAGACTGGGCAATGCTCCTTGGAGTCCTAACAGCTCTCTCCTGGCACTCTCTGTAAGCAGGTACTTAGTGGTCTCGGCCAAGGTCCCAAGATGGGCCAGGTAGGGCTTCCAGATGTGCCCAGATGAGACAGTCCAGTCCTGCCCGCTCCTCGCCCAACCATGTCACAGTCCCAGCCTGCGTGCTCCTGTGAGACCAGGCATAGCCGAAACAGCCAACACCCTGGAGATTCCTATCTGACACTGCGACCTTCCCAGGAGGAAAACCATCGTTGTCAGGACCCTTTCTCCTGTCAGTGACGTGAGGCTGGAAACCGTGCTCAGCCAGGGGCCCAGAAGGTTTAGTCTTCCTTCCCCACTACCACTCCCCTCAGGATGTTCACAGCCCCAACAGCAGAACCAAAATGGCCAAGCAAGAGTCACCACCTTTACGGCCAAAGGTGGTGTCAAACTGCAAGCCAAAGGAAACAGAGAGGGCAAAAGCCCTCCCATTGCCCCAGGAAGGATATACTCATGCGGCAGGCAGCCACTGCAGGGCTGGCAGGGCTGTGACTCTGGGTGACAAGAAACACCCGCGACCAGGATTCCAGTGTCATACCCCTTTGACTCCTTTCAGGTCACCTTTCAGCAAACTGTCCAAAGGGAAGGAGATTATGTTGTTCATATTCTGAATCTAAAAAACAAACAAACAAAAAAGGGAAGAAATCCTTAAGTTTCCTTTCAAATCTAAAGGGTAGCAAGGGCGTGAGAGGACATTTGGTAATAATTAACCTGCACTTAAAACCTGGCTGGCACAACAGGGCAGCCTTGGTGAGCCCCACATTCTTCCCTGCAATATCATTTCACAGATGGAAGGTAGCTGCTGAAAGCATTAGATCTGTAGTTTCTACAGTAACGATCGTATACTGTCATGCTACGAAGTTTGTAAAAGACAATCACTGCAATGGAGGAAAAGAATCTGAGAACAATCAATGACAGACCCACTTTCAAGAAAACATCTGCTTCCTACTCCCCTCCCTGCCACCGGCCCACTAAGCTGGGGGAGACCTGGACCCTGCTCCCCACAGGAGATGCCCAACATGGAGACAGAAGGGCAGGCAATGTGGGGCTTCTGACTGCTGGGCATGAGTGAGAAGACACCGGTGTACAAGGGGAAGGGTGTGTGTGTGTGAGACGGGGTGTGAGTGCAGAAGGAGCGAAGGCACTGAGGCGGGGAGGAGACAGAAAAAATGAGGCGCCAGGGCCTTGGTGCCCTCCTTTCTTGTTCTTCCTGCGGCAAGAAGGTAAGAGAGCAGCCCGCACTGTCAGTGTGGACTGAGGTCAGTCGGATGCTCCTGCCGGGCACGCCTGGGCACACAGAGGGCAGCAAGGGGTTGCACCAGCACATCGAATGTGAACAAGCTGGGGGGAAGCTGCAGGCACAGGCTGGGCCCCAGTGCCCACAAGATCCCCGAGGGGGGAAGTGAGCTCCACACTCCTTCTGAGCCCCACCACAGCCCAGAGCAGGACAATCAAGGTGGAGGGCTCCGGAACTTCCCCTCACTCTCACCCTCAAGCAAAGAAACTTATTTTGGCAACATTACTGTAAATAAGCTTCAGTCCGGGCACCATTTTTAAGGCAGTACGGGAGGTGATTTCAGACACGGCTCAGCACATAAAACTTTCAGAGACAAAAACCGCACTCGAAAAATCCCATCGCAATGTGTGGTGACGCCTGCAGCAACAGCTGATCCTGCCAAGTAAGCTTCCCACGAATGACTGTCTGCAGAGATGGGTTTTCCAGTAATGTCTGCCTCAGGACAGACAGCTCAATGTTACCTGGGTCTCCTGGCACTCCTCCAAGACACTGTGCCATCCACTGCGACTTGCAGGGATTGGCCCTGAGTTAACCCTTCAACACTGAAGGCCTGGCTGAAAGTGAGGTCTGTGGATGACAGGAAATCACGCACCTGACCCATGACTACCATCCACAAGGAAGCACAACTCGCCTCCCACTGTGACCCGGCAGGAGCGAGCTGTGGCAGAGCCTGTGTCTCTGCAAAGCCACTGACCTCCTGTCCTACATTTCCCTTCCCTGTAGGCACAGCTCTGCCCACCCAGCTCCTGGCAAGCTCCCCCTGTGGCTGTCACTTGCTGTCCTCCTCCCTGTGGATGTTCTCGATATCCTTCTCACAACCCACTCCCTGGACACCTGCTCTGCACCCCACAGCCATACCTTGCCCTACTCAACTGGCTGTCGCATCTTCTCCATCTTCTGGACCCCTGCACAACATCCCCTCTATGCCACCTGAACATACTGGGCCTCAACAGGGCCTCCCTGCCCCTTCTCTGGACAGAGGCAGTGGTGGCCCAGCTTCCAAACTCTGCCTGCCCCAATCCTAAACACCGGGTTTTCTGGCTCCTGTGTAGGGTCTCACAGTCCAATCTTATCGGCTACCTTTCATTTTCACCTTCTGCCCACTGAACTCTTTTCCCTGATTCGATGCCTGCTCCCAGCTTGCCCCTAATTGAAATGTGCTCCTTCGTCCTCAGGGTTCCAAGCCCCCACCCACAGGAGTTATTCCAACTCTACCTCCTCCATGAAGCAGCTTCAGTCCCTCCAGCAGAAAGCGATCCCTCTCTCCTTCAACACCCCCATTCCCCTCTTCTCAATTTGGTCAGGCACTCGGCAGGCTCTCCCTGGTCCATCTTACCAACCACACACCGTGCATTCTGAAAAGCAGCGTCCACCTCCACTGAATACCACACAGCCCAGAGCTCCGAGCTCAAGGTAAGGCCCAGCAACGCTCCAAAGCCACTGTCAGAATAGTGCAGGACATGTCAGCACTGTTCTGAGCTTCCAGTGCCTGAGAGACACTCGGCAGAGGCTTCCAATGGAGACCTATGAAAACCTTTAAACCAAACTCAGTATGAATGACAAAGGTCACAGAATTACTGACTGCAACAACTGGTTTATAAGCATGAAGGCACATGAAACCCGATGTTTCCCCACCAAACGATGGATCCAGACATGCACACTAAGAATTACGAGCTCTGAGAAATCTGGAGTGTCTACTCAGAGCAGAGACCAGCACATCCTCACCAGATACAGGGAACTGGGGTCTTCCAGTCAGGCCGACTGAGCCAATCTTGGGAGAAGGGTAACTGCCCAGCCACCGGCCCTGGAGGCGCTGCCCATTCATCTGCCCTGCCTGAACTGTCCAGAAGCCAAGGCTGTGTCCCCACGGTAAAGGGACACAGATGTGAGGGGGACTAGGCCCAAGGAGCTTCTAGGCTAAAGACAGTATCTAAGAAGTGTCCTAGCAGGTCTTTCACCAAAGGGTTGTGTAGATATGATTGTACACATGAATGGGAGAAACAAGATTCTCTACAGCAGGGAAAGATAACACTAATCTCAATTTGGTTTACACATTTCTTCTGAGACTATTTGTTGTTTAATTCAAATCAGAACTTGGGTACTAACAGCAGATACAATGACCATAACCCACAGACACCCATGCCTTGGCCAGCTGCTTTCATTCTGCATTTACCAAAGCCTTGAATAGTACTAGCCCTGGGCTGGACACTGGGGACAGGTCTCATTGTCTCATGTAAAATGGACACAGCCAATGACACAAAAATTCAAGGGCCAATTACAACTGTGGTGAATGCTACGCAGGAGGCAGGCAGCCCTGGGTGGTGGCAGTGGGGTGCAGAGGTACAGGGACTTAGGATACAAGTCAGCAAGACAGAAAGAACCTGGGTCCACAGGAACTCACCGCCTCACAGGAGAGCACACTGCCCATTTCAGTAAGTAAACTACCAAGGAAGACTCCCTGAGCCTAAGGAGAACACCAGGGAATTTCAGAGAAAATTACTTTTAGCCCAAACACCAGGGAAATGTGTGTTGAACAGAGGATGTAGGAAAGAACTTTAGGACAGAGGAGAATTCTGCCTTGCAGATGGTGAAAAGAAGGGCCTGAAGGGTGGTGGCAGAGCCACCCTAAAGGAGGGACAGCAGAAGGTGACAGCGAGAAAGGACACTTGGGCATCAGGTCAACAGAGGAAGTCTGGGTCTCATTCAATTATTCTTTTTTCCCTCAGAGTTACTCAAATTAACTAAAATAGGAAACTATTACTTTTCTGATCAAAACTACATTATTAAATAGAGACAGAAAGTAGATCAGGGGAGATGGGATTAACTGTGCACACAAGAGGGCCTCACAGCGGGAGACAATGTCCTAGAACAGATGCTTGGCGGGGTCCTGCCAGTTGGTAGGATTGCCAGAAAACTCCCAGCCGTATGCTTAAAACAGTACAAAAAAAAGTACCTCAAGAAAGCTGTTCAGGCTGGGGATGGAGCTTAGTGGTGAAGACAGTAAGGCCCTGAGTCTGATCCATAGCACAGCGAAGACAGAAAAGGGGAAAAAAAAGGAAAAGAAAAAATGACAGCTGTTTGTTTTTAAAAGGAATTGCTACAAATATAAATAGACCCCAGAACATTGGCCTGTCTGCCCCTGCGCACCCTCAAAACACCAGTGCCCTTCCCTGGGACAGGTGTGCGGGAGCCAGACACCCTGCAGGTGGGGCCTGCAGCGGGAGGGATGCAAGGCCGAATCCTCCCTGCTCTGTGTGTCAGGCGATGGCCAGGAGATGAAAAACGCAGCCCGAAGGTGACTGCTCACCCACATGTTCAGGCATCTCCAGCCTCACTATGAGTAAGAAAATCTTTATGACAAACTGGTTTTGGATTGCTCTGCATCACCCTTAGCGCCAAGCAAACATCAGCATTCCCAGCTGCTCTGACTTTCTCAACACACACATGTAAAATGGTTTCCTAAAGGGCACACACATCTGAATACACATCTTGCTGCCCTTAGCTCTGGACCAGCAGATACGCAGTCTTTTAAAACAGTAGCCCTCTCTCTTTTCCTCCCTCCCCCTCTTCCTGTCTCTGCCTTCCCTGAGTTAAGGGGAAGGACCGGTCTGACAAGATGAGTCAGTCAGTCAAAGGTCTGTGCTCTCACAAGTACAAATGAAGCGACAGCTGCTGGGGTCCAGGAGCAGTCATCATCACTCGTGCCACGGTCAGGGAGAGAGAACATAGTCTGCCAAACAGCAATCTTCTCACACTGCTCCTCCTTCTCTGGGCTTAAAATCCTCCACTCCAGCTCTGCCACCAACCTCTGGCTGTCGCGACACCTCCAGCACGCAGCCCAACTGCAGGAAGCAAAGGTGCTGTGTGTCTCCAACCTGGGCACCCAGCGACTCTGCACTGCTTCATGACCTTGTCCCATGGTCAGTCTGGACGCCTGAACCCAGGATCCTCGCGCAGCTCTCTAGATTCAAGAATCAGCCAGAAGTTACTGGGCAGTATCCAGCTCCACCTCACGAATCTAGAAAAGAGCAGGACTCCCAGGGCAAGCCCTCTGGCTTTCCTCACACAGATCACTGGGGCACCGTACTATGCACCAGAAGTGCATCTGTGCCACGTAGTTCATTTTAGATGCCTGATTTGTGTGGCACTCAGAGGCAGAAAAGACAACGCTCTGAAATTTTTCTGGTTAACGTGAGCAGAAGCTGCTGCAGCACGGAGTTAAACAGGGAAGCCCAGGCTTCGAAGAACCTGTTCACCTCGGGCAGAGGACGACACCTATAGTGTGAGTGACGGCTTGCCCAGTGGAGGGGTCAGTG